CCAGTTAGACACAGGGAGGCTTCTTCAGACACGGGGACACGCTGTTGGGAGGCTTTTACCACAGTCTCCGGGCGTCTTCTAGGCCAACTCTGTCCCCAGCCCCAGGCTCTGGGCCCCAAAACGGTCTGGGTCACCTTCATGCCGACGGGAGTGAAGACAGGCTGTGGCTCAGGCTGGGCACGGTGGTGTCACCCGTCGGCAGCTGACAAGGTGCTACCGGGGACGGGGTCACACGAGCTCTGTTCCGAATCTCCGGGAAGGCGCTGGGCCGAGGCCGGCCGCTGTTCAGGAGAAACACCGCCCAGAGCATGTTCACACCGCGGGCCCATCACGGTCTGCCGGGAGCCGCCCGCATCGAGTGTTTATTCCGCCTCCTGATGATTAATTTCTCTACGAAAGAGAGAATCGGTTGTTTTCCTGTCACCCGACGTCACCCCCGCAGATTCAGTTTTTTAAAAATGCGGATTAGCGGACCGTAGCCTTGCCGCTTGGAGGATGCTGTCGGACAGGACACCACAGGGACACGGGACACTCGGTCGGTGGGTGTGTCCCGGGAAAGGAAGCACCAGGGCAACTGCTGACGGATGGTCCCGGACGGCAGAGGTCATGGCGAGGGGTCAGCTCGGGGCTGCAGAGGCTGAGGTCGGCCCACCGCCGGCCCTCTGCCAGCCGTGACCAGACGCTGTGGCTTCAGTCCGTCTGAAGGCCCGGGAACCGTGTCCCAGCCCCGTCATCCGGGCAGTGAGCCAGAGGGGCGCCGTCCCCCTTTGTTCTGTTCGGGCCCTCAGGGGACCAGTGACCTCCAGGTTCACCAGGGTCATTGGCTTCACTGAGGCCCAACTCGAAAGTCCCCTCGTCGGAGACGCCCACAGACACACCAGTACTGACGTTGAATCGGGTCAATGGCTGAGTCAGGTTCCCACGTAAAATCAACACTGCTGGTCTTGAGTTCGGCCGGTTGCCTCTTTAGGGACACCGAGCGTGATGGCCTGGGGAAGGCTCCGTGGAGACCTCGTTCCTCGAGCCCGCCAGCTGCCTCGGCCTGCAGCCCCCCTCCGGGAGCACCGTGTGCGCGGCTCACATCTTCACACAGCACCGGAGTCGCCCCGGAAAACACATCTGGACCGAAGTGCACGTGTCTGTTTAAAGGAGAGCAGTGGTGGTCGGGTGGAAGCCAGGCTGGACGAGCAGGGTGAGGCGCCGGCCGTCGGCACCCCGAGAACCTCACCCCGCAGTCCTCACCGGCTGCTGACGAGGGACCGCGTTTCACCTCGACCTCTCTGGCCGCCAGGCAAGGCCACACGTAGGAACACCAGCACGGTGCCCGGCTCCCGAAACACATGAGAAACCGTATGTGTCTTTCGGAAGAAACCAGCTGGTGTTGAGTCTGACGACCGTGCTGGTCACATGTGAGGAGCCCGAGAGCTGGGAGGGGGATAGGTCAGAACCTCCCGCCTCCGTGGCCGCCACGTGCAAGGGGCAGGAAGCCAGCGCCGTCATGTGCCCTTCGCGCGGGCAAATTGGCAAAGCGATGAAGATGTCCGCTCTGGGGGCTTCCCGCATCGGGGCGAGTGGGTCCTTGGTACCCCAGCGTCGATGCCCAGTGTCATTGGCAGGGGGGTTCTGACTGATGCTGTCTCAGCCGGTGATGTGCTGTCATGGGATTTTGTCAGGGACAATCACACTGTTGCGAGGACAGGGCAGTGGAGCCATCGGGGGACATGCCATCCGCATGGAGAGTGTCGGTGGCCAGGCTGTAACGTGTCGGTGTGTGTGACGTGATCTGTTCTGTGCCACTAACATGCTAAGTGGAGCCGGAGCCAGCTGCCAACGACACTGCGTGGAAAGGGTGTCCGCCCGGGTCCGCACCCCACGCCCAGCAGACAAGTCAGCGGCCAGACCCAGAGCCCGTGCTCCTTGGGAAGACGCCAGCTTCGCAGGAGCTGCTAGTGTGCCGTGATCACGCTTTCCATCGGAAAACCTGGCGTGTGTCTTGATGTGACATTTTCTTAATCCCTTAATGATTCAGCCGAAATACCAACATACGGAGAACAAAATCGCCGTGTTTCCGCAGGACATTTACGCAGCCTCCGGCGGCCGGACGCTGGGCTGTCAGGAAGATGGTGTTTCGGAAGCGCCCCCTTGAGCTATTGGCTTTCTTCTTCCCTGGGACTTCCTCACGCACCAGGGTCCCAGCCTCGTCCAGGTTGGCAGGTCAGTGATCCTGGACTGTACCTGTTTCTTCATCTCCGGGAAGTTCAAGGGAGAAGTCAGGGTGCACTGACCCAGGCAGGAAAGTCAGGGACAGCGACTTGTCTAGAACCCCAGATAAAAAGTGTCCCAGGGGCCCTGGCCGGTTTGGCTCAGCGGTTAGAGCATCGGCCTGCGGCCCAGAGAGACCCGGGTTCGGTTCCCGCTAAGGGCATGTACCTCAGTTGCAGTTTGTCCCTGGCCCTGGTTGGTCGTGCGGGTGGCAGCCACTCGATGTGTCCCTTTCACATCGATGTTTCTCTCTCTCTCCCTCCCTCTCTATCTGAACAAAAGTGTCCCAGGGATCCGTCTGCATTCGAAGTGGGAGCCCCATTAGCTGCTTACTCAGTGGGTCTCTGAGTCCTTTTTGACATTGAATCAGGGGCATCTCAAACGACCCTCTGCCCCCGGTACTCCCGCACAGCACGAGTAAAAATGATCAGGTCGCGTGGAGGAAGCAGAGCTGTCTGTCCTCGCTGGGAGTTTTTCTTGTGGCTGCTCCTACCCCGCGGCTAGTGATGGGTCTTTAGACTCTGTTTCCTCCCGGCTCAGTCTGGGAAGGCGGATGCTTCAGAAACGTGTCCCCGTCTTCCAGGTCGTCCCGTTGGTCGGCACGTAATTCTCCACAGTATGTGACCAGTTCTGCGGCATCGTTGTAACTTCTTCCACTCAGGATTTCCTTCATTCGAGCTGTTTCCTTCTCGATGAGTTTGGCTAAAGGTTTATCGATTTCGTCGATCTTCGCAGAGAAGGGACCTCTTGTTTCATTGACCAAGTCTCTACCACGTCGGTATTGCTCTGATCTTTTCTTCCTCCCGTTGCTGTGGGTGCTGCTTGTTTCTGTGTCTAGTTCCTGTAGGTGTCAGCCTGGCTCTTACTTGGGATCGTCATCGAGCCTTGAGCCCGTGCGGCTGCAGGCTCCTCGCGGGCCTGACTTTGTCGTATACATTTCCGAGTGTTGCGTCTTCATTGCCGTTCATCTCGGACAGGTCGTTGGTGGCCTGTCCGATTCCCCATTCGATCGGCGGGGTGTTTCCGAGCCTGTTGTTTGGGGTTCACGTCTGTGCCTCCCCCAGTTTCCTTCTTGCCGTTGATTTCCCGTTTCACGCCGCCGCGGTGGGAAGGACACTGGGTAGGATGTCCATCTTCTTGGGTTTATTGCGGCTTGTTTCCAGGCCTAGTAAGTGGTCCCTGTAGAGAATGTTCCCTGTGTCCTCGCAGTGCAGTTTAACCAGCTTTCGGATGAAATTTTCTGAACGTGTCTGATGCGACATTGAAGGCCACCATCGTCGCATCAATTCTCTGTCTGGGCGATTTATCCGTGGACGTGAGAGGGTGTAGCGTGTCCCACTATCATTGCACGGCTGTGGACGTCTGTCCTTGTGCCGGAGAATAATGACCCTGATCCTGAGCGCACGGCGTCTGCGATGCTCCGTCCTCCTCTCGGACTGACCCCGTCAGCATCAGGCAGCGTCTCTTTGTAACATTGTTTCAAAGTCTGTTTTGTCTGCTTGAGCAGGTGCCCCGGCTTCCTCTTCCGTCCGACCTGCACGCAGCGTCCCTTCCCGTCCCCCACTTCCAGCCTCTGTCCCCCTCAAGTGAGTCTCTTGTGAGCGGTGTAGAGACGGGCCGGGCTCCTCGGTCCCGTGTCTGCTTCCCGGAGCGTTCCGTTCCCGTGCGTGGAAAGTGACTGTTGATAAGTGTGTGCTTCTTGCCATTTTCTTCGCTGTTTTTACGGTTTTCTCTGTTCCTTTCCTCTGCCGACCCCTCTGCAGTCTGTGGTTTCCTCGCTGTTCCGTCGGGTCCCTTTCCCTGTGCTGTGTGCACGTCTTCTGTAGGGGTTGGGGTCTGGCTGCCGTGGGTCCGTGTGTGTCTTTCTACATCTACAGAGTCCATTTGGAGCCACAGGTACTGAGTTCAAATACACTGCACAAGGCCACAAGCTTCTCCCCTTCCACCCTTTATGTCTTTGATGTCATATTTTAGGTCTTTGTGTTTCGTGTGTCACTACAACAGTATCAAGTTGTTGGTTTCTTTTAAAGCTTAGGCCCTTCATTGGTGGAAAACACCTCCATAATGAAGTTAAAAAAGACACATCAGCCCGGCCGGTGGGCTCAGTGGGCTGAGCGTCGCCCCAGGGCCTCAGAGGTACCTGTTCGATCCCCGGTCAGGACACAGGCCCAGGATTCGGGTTTGATCCCCAGTGGGGGGCGTGCAGGGGGCAGCCGATGGGTGTTTCTCTCTCATATCGATGTTTCTGTCTCTCTCTCTAAACAATTCAATAAAAACATATTTAAAATAAAGACGCGTCAGCCGGGTGACAGAACACGGTGCCTCTGGTTCCGTCGGCGCCAGAAGCGGTATTTCCGCCTCAGCTCTGCGTCCGGACGGAAAGGGTGTCGGCTTCTGCCGGGAGCCCGTCTGGGCTGCAGCAACGCTGTCTGACGACTAAGGTGCAAGTCGGATTCCTGCCCGACCCCCAACCAAACTCGGTTCCGCACGAACTGTTTTTACATTTGGTCATCAGTCCGATTACTTGGCTGTCAGTCGAGCACAGTGTCACGCGAAGGCGTCGGGGGCGTGGGTCTGAGCGTCACGTCCGCTGTGGGTTCTTTCCCGGGTCCCCGTCCGCGGAGCCTGGATTCCCACAGCTCCCTCCTGGTCCATGTTTCCGGACGTGTGTGGTCAGCCTGCTAAGTGTCGTCTCTCGCTGCCGCCCTGTGTCTGACCCCTCTGCTCCTCTCTTGCAGATTCTGTTCATGGGCATGATGACGGAGTATTACCACTACTTCTTCACGACGCTGGTAAGCACACGCCACGGACGCGTTCCCTGTGCCGGGAGCACCTCGGGGTGTCTTCAGTCAGCCCCCCAGTGTCAGAGGCAGGGACATCTGGCTGATGCTAAGACTCCCCCAACTCCAGGAGTGCCACAAAGCGGGCTTCCTTCTCCCTCCCTCCCTCGTTCCTTCCCTCCCTCACCCGAGGACACTTTTGCATTTATCTTCAGAGGGAGCAGGAGGGAGAGAGAGAGAAACATCGACGTGAAGGGGACACATCGAGTGGCTGCCACCCGCACAACCGACCAGGGCCGGGGACAAACTGCAGCCGAGGTACGTGCCCTTAGCGGGAACCGAACCCGGGTCTCTCCGGACCGCAGGCGACGGTCTAACCGCTGAGCCAAACCGGCCAGGGCCTTTCTTTCTTAAGTAGCGTCAGTGTACGGCTCCCGGAAAGGGACTGAAGGGAAGCTCCCATTAAGCAGAAACTGTCCGTCACAAGCGATTCCTGAAGAAACGCCGTCGGCGTGTCCCGTGTACGCGGACGGCACGCTGCTCGCGGTGCCTCCTGCGGTGCGACGGTTCCCCTCCTGCGCCCGGTCACCTGCCGGGGCTGTGAAGACCATCGAGAGCCGCTGGAAGGTGCTTTGCACACTGACTCCTCTGCATCTAAGAAAAATCATGGCTCCAAGACGGGAATGTTTAAAGTCTGTAACACCTTACACCTTGAGAGGTGATCCCATCAAGAGCGAATGACTTGGGGCATTTGACACGTCACAGTGATTCCCGCCCCCCGTCATACACACGCCACCTTCTTACCCGGGAGCGAAACGGAACCCACCTCCGCTTCTAGTCTGCAGGGTGCGTGGCCGAACCCACTCGGTGGGGCTGTTCAGTGAGGACGCCACTCGCTCCGAGCAGGGAGGCTGGCGGGAGGGGGAACGGGGATGCGGAACGGGGGCCAGGGGCAGCCTCACACGCGCTCCCGCCTCAGGGTGTCTGAGACAGACGGGGAGCAGAGGCCACCCCGAGAGCGCTCTGGACCGTTGTGGTGCGGAGCTGGGGCCGGAGGGGTGCAGGGCGGCGGCTCTGCCACCAGGTTTCCGTTTCCACGGACGACCTCCCTCCTGGACCTGCTCAGCTCCTCTGTCCTCAGGGGCCGGACATTAAGAACCACCTTGGGCCCTGGCCGGTGTGGCTCAGCGGTTAGAGCGTCGTCCTGCGGTCCAGAGACCCAGGTTCGGTTCCCGCTAGGGGCGCGTACCTCGGTTGCAGTCTGTCCCCCCCACCACCACCACCCCCCGCCTCAGAATGTCCTGCCGTCCCCTGGGGACACGCCCCTGAGATCCGGTTTCGTTGACATTTTGGAAGGAGTGGGAACAAGGGAACCTAAGGCGGCTGGTCTCCGACGGACGCCCTCGGGGAGTGGACGGGGTCCTCACGCCCTCCGCTCACCAGGGGACGTGGAGATCAGTCCGTGGACTTTCCACTCTCTGCCTGGAGCGAAGCCTCGGGCTGCGGCCGAGCTCACCGCCCCCGGGGTGTTCAGTCCACCGTGTGGCGTCTGGGAGCTGCTGGGGCCCTGAAGAGTCACCGACGTTCTGGAAGTTTCTGTCTGACCTCCCGTGGCTCCAGCTTCTCCTTCCCGAGTGCGACAAAGGAGCCGTTCATGCCTGGGGTCTGTTCTTTATATTCGCTCATTTGTGCATCTTCCTCCGGTCTTACCTGAATTCTGCTTTGCTTTCACATTCTTCCCCTGAGTAAAAACACAACTCGAAGAAAAAAGAAAGCAACTTAGCACGAGGGGAGAAAATACAACATTTAACAAGGCAGTGTGCTCCTGGCCGGTGCGGCTCAGCGGGTGGGGCGTCGGCCGCAGACCAGGGAGTCTCGGGTTCAATTCTGGTCAAGAGCATGTGCCTCGGCTGCGATTGTCCCCGGCCCTGGTCGCGCACGTGGGAGGCCAGCCGTCGATGTGTCCCTCTCACGTGGATGCTTCTCTCTCCCTCCCTCCCTCCCACGCTATCAGAAGATAAATAGGAAAATATCCTCGGGTGAGGATTAAAAAGCATAAAATAAGAAAAATAAATGGAATGAAAAGGCGGTGATTTTGTGACTCTGACCAGAAGCACGGAGCTGAGTGTCAGGTGCCAGGAGGGGACCAGCCTGTGCGTCTTCTGCACACACGTCCTGGGGCGACGCGGCTCCTGCTGAGCGACCCTCCAGCGGGGGGGACGGACCAGCTCGCTCGGGCTCCCCTGACGCGCGTGCACGGCGCTGGGACGTTTATAGAAGCTTCTTTCCTGTCAGGTGATAGGTCAGCCCGGCGGACACTGAAATGTCACCTAGTCCGGCTGTCATGGAAGAGGCGGGGGGTCCCGTGCGTCTATTTTAACAGTGATCAACTCGCACTCGGGCCCACGCTCAGCCTGGTCCGTGAGGGGAACTGGGGGGTTAGGATTTCTTCCTGACAGGGCTGGACCGGAGGGGACCCCACAGGCAGATGCTGCTGCTCATGTCTGAGGAGGACCTGGTCCCTGTTCTGAGCTGGTGTCCAGGGGCCTTGATGTCACCTCACAGTGCAGACTCGGCTGTTCTGAGCGGGGTGGTCTGAGGGGACCTCCCTGTTCTATGGGGGGGGTGGTCTGAGGGGACCTCCCTGTTCTAGGTGGGGGGGGTCTGAGGGGACCTCCCTGTTCTATGGGGGGGTGGTCTGAGGGGACCTCCCTGTTCTAGGTGGGGGGGGGTCTGAGGGGACCTCCCTGTTCTAGGTGAGGGGGGTGGTCTGAGGGGACCTCCCTGTTCTATGGGGGGGTGGTCTGAGGGGACCTCCCTGTTCTAGGTGGGGGGGGGTCTGAGGGGACCTCCCTGTTCTATGGGGGGGGTGGTCTGAGGGGACCTCCCTATTCTAGGTGGGGGGGGGGTCTGAGGGGACCTCCCTGTTCTAGGTGGGGGGGGTCTGAGGGGACCTCCCTGTTCTATGGGGGGGTGGTCTGAGGGGACCTCCCTGTTCTAGGTGGGGGGGGGGGTCTGCGGGGACCTCCCTGTTCTATGGGGGGGTGGTCTGAGGGGACCTCCCTGTTCTAGGTGGGGGGGGGGTCTGAGGGGACCTCCCTGTTCTATGGGGGGGTGGTCTGAGGGGACCTCCCTGTTCTAGGTGGGGGGGTGGTCTGAGGGGACCTCCCTGTTCTAGGTGGGGGGGGGTCTGAGGGGACCTCCCTGTTCTAGGTGGGGGGGGGTCTGAGGGGGATTTTCCTGTCTAATGACATGTACTTTCCAATTTCACCTCCTTTGCAAGATGTGGGTCCAGGTGTGGTGAACAGGGTGGTCCCACCAGTGAGCAGGGGTCTTTCCTGGGCAGCACTTCACCCTCAGACTCGTTTCCTTGTTTATAAAATAAGTGTTGAAGCCACTGGACAGAGTCCCTGCCCGTCCCCGAGGACGCGGTGTTAGAAACAGGGCCCGACCTTCCCAGGAGGTCACAGGCTGGGCCCCGGCGGCCGGGCGGTTATCAGCAGCCAAAACCCTCGTCTGGGTCTCCCAGGCACGAACAGAGCAGCAAACGGAGGGAAACACTCCTGCCGGCGGGTGACGAAGGCTCCCCTCCGCTTCGATCCCCGGGCGGCTCGGGCATCATTCTCGCGTTGGCAGAACCAGCGTCCAGGCTGGCCTCCCTCCTCTGCCCTCTCCCGTCCTGCAGGACCTGTTCGCCTTGGATCTGGAGTTCTACCGGTACAGCGGCGTGAACGTGACCGGCTTCCGGCTGCTCAACATGGACAGCCCCCAGGTGTCGTCCGTGGTGGAGAAGTGGTCCGTGGAGAGGCTGCAGGCCCCGCCCCGGCCCGAGACGGGCCTTCTGGACGGGGTGATGACCGTGAGTCCTTGCAAATGAGGTCTTTGGGGAAATGTTTGCCTTCCGGGGGGTGAGGGCGAGGGTCTCACGTGCCTTCTGTGGCCTGAGGACGTGTTGGACCCTGTGCCGTGACTTGGACGAGGGAGAGGAAGCAGCAGCTTCCGAGGTTTCTCCAGAGCCTGTGCGTGGGGATGTCACCAGCTGCTATCTCTGGCTTCTGGCTGTGCAGGTCTCAGGTTCGAGTAGCTGGAAGAGCAGCCTCCACCGTCCACTGTCGGCCAAGTGGAGACGAAGCAGGAACCGGGCCGGGGCCCTGAGGGCAGAGGAGGCACCTCCGCGTGTCCAGCAGCACCAGGGTCCCTCCCCGCTCCCGTGAGGAAGCTCCGTGGGGCGCCCCGGTCTCTCCCGGGGGCGCCTGAGCCGCACCTTTGCAGACACCCACCCACCGTGCGCCACGGAGGGCATGTTGTTCCAGGAGCAGATGCCAAGCCCGCCCCCCACGGGGCGCCGGCCTCAGCTGACTGATAAATGGCCCAGAGCTCCTCCCGACATCGTTTGTCTCGCGCTGTCACCACCCCCGGGTGCTCTCGAGCGGACTCCCTGGGAGGTGAAGAAAGGGCAGGACATTTTTTTCTGAAAAGCTTTCCGTGTCGGCACCGTGTGGTCTAAGGGGAGACGCCGGGCGGCAGGCAGGTAATAGCGTTTTAAATTGGCAGAGTATTTCATCCTCCGTTCCCATCATCGGAAGGAACACTTGCTTTTAAGACGCAATTTACCGATCCCTGGAAGACAGCCCCTCACAGAGAAATGAACTTCGGGTTTTTGTTTTTCTTTTTCCTACAGTTTTTTTTTTTTTTTTAGAAGAACCAAGTAAACGAAGAAATGAGTGACTGAACGAAGTGGTTCTGGGTGACCCCGCGTTCAAGGCCCTGGCTGTTTCTCAGGCCTGAAATGACTGTTCACGTGCGCAGGGACCTGGGAGAAAACCATGGGAACCTGCCGCCTGAGCTCGGGCGATGGGGGATGTCGCTGGGAATGACAACAGAGTCCCGGGGATACTGCACCCTAAGGGGGGCACGTTGCTTTTCTCTTCTCCCCTCTCGGATTCATGATCCCAGTGAGTTCAAAGATGTTCAGAACCCTCTGTCCCCCCGACGTCCCCTAGATTTCTGCCGGGGGGGGGGTGCCCTCATAGCCCTGCCCCCGCGCTGGATGCTCACCCCCAGCAGGGCCCAGCGGGCAAAGGGAAGCTGTGCTGTGGTCAGTCATGCTGAGCGGACAGACAGTCTGCACCCGGTGACGGAGGAGAACCACTGAGCAGGACACACTGAGCCGCGCAGGCCACACTGGGTTCGGGTCGGGCAGGAGGTGCCCCGGACCGTGGGCCGCGGCCTGGGCAGACGGCACAGCGCCACAGAGCCAGCCCTGCCTCCAGGGGACGGCAAGGTCCCCTTCTGGACCTGGTGACGTCCTCTCACCTAAGGAAGGGGTCCTGGGCTCTGCTATTGTCCTTGTCGGTGGTGGTGTCATAAACTGAGAAGGAAGGCGAGGGCCTACCCCGCGGAGCAGGGGCTCGATCCCGTAACCCTGCAGCGACAGCTAGAAACGGACCTTTTTTATCCAGAGGGGCCGTGTGTCCGTTCAGGGTTTCTGCTCCCAGTCGAGGGGCCTGCACTGCGGGGTGAAGTCACCCACAGTCCAAGGGCAAACACGAGGGCGTCCGTCCGATGCGCACCCCAACACCCCACTGCAGCAGCAGGAACACTCTCCAGGTGACGGATCGTTTCCGGGACAGGTCGCACGTCAGACCGCGGAGCAGGTCTCGGGAGATTTAGGGAGACGGGAGCATCTTCTCTGATCCCCACACCATGAAACGAGAAATAAGAAACAAGAAGAAAAGGGAAAAAGCGACGACCCCCTGGAGGCTGCACCACACGCTGCTGAAGGTCAGCCTGAAGGTCAATGACTTCAGGACGAAATCGAGGGGGACACGTTTCCGGAGCCCGATGAATGTGAAAACCAACGACCCAACATCTACTGGACAAAGCAAAACCAGTTCTGAGAGGGGAACTCAGGGGCACAGGCGGGCCCCAGGAAACAAGGAGAGTGTGACAGAAACAGTGTAGCCTGCCCTTGAAGAAAGGAAACGAGAAAGATCAGAGCAGAAATAAACAAAGACTAAAAAACAATAAAAAGATCCATGAAACTAAAAGCTGTTTATTTGAAAAGATAAATAAAATTGATAAACATTTAGCCAGACTCAACAAGAACAAGAGAATAAATAAATAAATAAATAAAATCAGAAAATAAATAAAATCTGAAATGAAAGAGGGATTGTAAGACGGTTCTACGGACAATGATATGCCAACAGGCGGGACAACCTAGAAGACGTGGTTCTGCTCCTAGACACACAGTCTTCCAGGACCGTATCCGGTAGACATGGAAAATCTCCACAGCGACAGATTACTAGTAACAAAATTGAATCCGTAATCAAAAGACACCCAACCAACAAAAGTCTGGGCCCAGACAGCTTCACAGGCGAATTCTACCAACTATTCAAATGTGTGTATAAAAATTCTTCTTAAACTGTTTCAAAAAATTGAAGCAGAGGGGAAGTAGTCAACTCATTCTATGAGGCCAGCATGACCTTGGTACAAAAACCAGACACTACAAAGAAAGAAAATGATAGGCCAATTGCCCGATGTAAAAATCCTCAACAAAATATCAGCAAAGTGAATTTCGCACTACGTTAAATAGGTCATACCCCATGATCAGGTAGGATTTATTCCAGGGACGGGAGAATGATTTGGTATCTGCAAACCAATCAGCATGACAGGTCACATGGTCATCTCAGCTGATGCAGAAGCAAAGCACTCGACAAAACTCTACATCTTTTTTATGATAAAAAAAACTCTCAACAACGTGGGTATAGAGGGAAATACCTCCCATAACAAAGGTGAAAAGCCAACCTATTTTTCTCTGAGGTCAGAACAGACGGGAAGGCCATTGCTGCCTCTATTCAGCATCGTACTGGAAGTTGTAGCCATAGCAATCAGACGATAAAACGAAATACAAGATACTCACATTGGAAAGGAAGAAGTAAAACTGTCACTGTTTGCAGGCAACATGATACTAGATCTATTAAAACCCAAAGATTCTAACAACAACAAAAACTAGTAGAACTAATAAATTCGGTAAAGTTGCAGGATACAAAATTAATATTCAGAAATCTGTTGCATTTTTATATACTAATAACAAATTCCCAGAAAGATGAATGAAGAAAACAATTCTATTTACAATGGCATCAGAAAGAATAAAATGCCTCCGAATAAATTTAGCCAAGGAGGTGAAAGACCTGTGCTCTGAAGACCATACAGCATTGGTGAAAGAAGTTGAAGAAGACATACATAAGGGAAGGGTATTCCATGGCCATGGATGGAAAAAATGTACATCATTAAAATGTCCACAATACCCAAAGCAATCTACAGATTCAATGCAATCCTATCAAAAAACACCAATGGCATTTTTCACAGAACTGGAACAAAAATAATCCTAAATTTTCTATAGAACCAAAAAAACCTTGACCAGCAAAAGCGATCTTGAGAAAGAACAAAGATGGAAGTTATCATACTGCCTGATTTTAAACTATACTACAAACACACAATAATCAAAACAGCATGGTACTGGCATAAAAATAGACACATCGATCAATGGAATAGAATGCGGAGCCCAGAAATAAACCCTCACTTACATGGACAATTACTCAGACAAGGATGTATCATGAGAAGACATCTCTTCAGCAAATGGTATTACAAAAGCTGGACAGATAAATGCAAGAAATGCAATTATGCCATTTTTAAAAATCATACACAAAAATAAAATCAAAATGGATTAAAGACTTAAACGTAAAACCCGAAACCATAAATCTCCTAGATGAAAACATAGGCAATAAACACTGTGACATCACTCTGAGCAATATTTATTTTTGCATTTATCTCCAAAGACAAAGACAACAAAAACAAAAAATAAAAAATAATTGGGACTTGATCAAACTACAAATGTTTTGAAAGGAATCTCAGCAAAGGGTAAAGGCAACCTTCTGAATGGGATGAGATATTTATTAATGTATCCAATATGAGATTAATATCCAAAATATATAAAGAATCCATACAACTCAACAGTAAAAATCCAAGCAATCCAATTAACATACGGTCAGAGAGCCTGAACAGACGCCTCTCCAACAAAGACCCACAGACGGCCAGTAGACACCTGAGAAGTTGCTCAACATCACTAATGATCAGGGAAATGTAATCAGAACCACGATGAGCTATTACTTCCCACAGAATTAACTTAGACGATTGTAAAACTGCGCCGCCGGATGGTTACTGGATGACTGCGTGGTCCCTCGTAAGGTATAAATGTCGAGTCACCATGTTTCACACCTGAAACTAGTATAATATTAGTTTACATTTTTAAAACAGTAATTCATGAGGAACGCACGTCTCTCTGGCCCTACGTATACCTCTCAACATCTACATTATTATACATATTAACTTAAGTATTCTTTTTATAAATCTATATTCCATGTTTACTGTTAAAACGTTTTTAAAACACGTATTGTCTGTGACATCGAGTACATTATGTGGGTGTACAGCCGAAAGGGGACCCCCTCCAGAGAGAGCGCACCTCACCAGAGTCCCCTGGCCCAGTGCTCACAAATCGAGCCGCCTCTGGACCCAAGCTCTCTTGTCGACCTTCAAGGGGGGATGTTCTGTGGTTCCTCCTGGGTCTGCATCTCGTGGGGGCTGCCTGTCATCCGTCCCCCGTTCCTGCCTACAGCCGTCCGCAGAGGGGCCTCGGAAACGCCACATGACACAGCCCTTCCCTGTGCCCCTGTCTCCCCAAATCCGCTTTGCCTGTTCATAGCCCTTACGGCCAAAGACGTCGCCCTGAGATCGGCCTGCTCGGTACCTTCCCTCCACGAGTGTACGTCCCTCCGAGCTCTGCCCCGTCCCCACACCGGACGGAAGGCCTGGCACGGCCCGGACCTTGGATAAGTGTGTCTCGTAAATGAATTGCTGCACTAAGTAGACACATAGTGAGCTTCTCCTGAGACTCGAGGCGGTAAATGCGAAATAGTCACGTAGTCCTGAGATAGTTTCATGGCAGTTTAACAGGAGTCCTGAGAAGTAAGAAATAGGCATGGTCAGTGAGGGGAGACCACCCTAAGGCACTGATACCATTTCAGAAACTTCCCACGGACTGGTCACTGTCAAGTTAAGGAACACCGGCTGCGGCATAGACTTGCAGTCCCTGAAAGTGTCCCCTGGCCCCGAGGTGAGGTTCCCGAGACCTCTGGCTGTTCCGTGTGCGCCGTGTTCATACTTCCCGTCTACTTCTCTGTTTTCCTCTCTGATGTTTTTAGCTACTAAGCATTCATTAAAACTTCATGCACTAAAATACCTCCAAAGAAGATGGCTGGATATGTCACAACATTCAAATCTGGACAGCAGTCACGCCCAAGTGCCTGGGTCCAGACATAAGACCCATTGACTTAAATTAAAGAAAAAATACTGACTTTTAAAAACTGAGTTAAGGAAACTGTTACTGAGTCAACAGAGTTCCAAACTAGTGAACCTGATTCTTAAAAAACATCTCGAGAACAAGAAAGTGTTTTGTTCACCGAAGTGTTCATCAGTCCAGGAACCTCGGAGTGGTCGTATGAAATCTACTCCATTTCTTTTCACGACATCGACATGTTTCTCGGCATCTGGACTCACTCAGTCTGTTGGCTTTGGGTAGGTGGGTCGTGCAGCGGCCCGTTCTCAGTGGGTTGTCCCCTGGTGGTGATCAACACCGCGTGATTCCGTCCTGCGTAGGACACACGGACACACACAGCTGTGCCCCTGCCTTCCCCGTCTCTCAGGGCGCCGCGCAGGAAGCGGCAGCGCCGTGCCTCACGCACCAGCACCCCTGTGACCCAGGCTCACGGGAGACGTCTCTGGGCACCCCCAGCGCATCCTGCGGTGAAACAGCAGTCGGTGGGATTCCGTGGATAAAGCTCCAAGTCCTTGCTAATGTCCCCGAATGACTCCACGACCTGAGTAAGTTATTTAGCCTCTCCGATCCTTCTTGCTCATCTGTAAATCCGCAGAACAACGCTCGACGGATCAAATCCAATAACACACAAAGCCTCCAGGTCCCCTAGTGTTGAGCGCGGTCGATGGAGCCTGGTGTTTGCCAGCTCCGGGCCGTGAGCGCTGACGTGTCCGTGTCCACCCCGAGAGGGAGCCCTCCGCTCGGCTCACTGGCCTCCAAGCCTCAACTTTCCTGTCTGTAAAATGGGGACAATGCCTACTTCACAGGTTTAATTTCAGTAATTAGAGGAGGCGACCGGTGTAAAAAGCTTCAAGTGCCTGGTGTGTGGCAACTGTCGATGAATATTGACCATGACTGAATGATCGGTATAATTTTAAATGATCAGACGAATATGCAGCCATGAGACTTTGTGGTTGAGAGCAGATACCGCGCCCCAGCGTCCTGGGTTTGAATCTCCCCACCGCTCCTTTGAGGACACCATTGAACCCCATTGTTTCGTCATCTACACAGCAGTGAAGGTCACGGTGACTCAAAGTTCGCAAAGCGCTCAGAATGGCACCGGACACGCAGTACGTGAGCCGTGAGGGTCGGCTGTTGTCATCGGTCACGGTCTGCAAATCCTCCTGCCAGCAGGCTGCCCCCCTGTTAGATCCGTGAGCCCAGCAGAGTGGCCGGGACCGAACCCTGGCCATGTGGCCGATGGGCTGAATGGCCTGAGACTGGCCACTTAATTTCTCTGAGCCTCAGTTTTCGTATCTATAAAATGGATTAGACCAGCCTTGAACTAAAAGGGTCGAAAATTTTTCAGCTTTAACCATCACCCCCAGCGATCTAAATTCTGCATGTCAATCACATACATGTGAGTGAGACAATTTATCTGAGAAACACCTCTCACCACCTTGGCATTGTGCAATCCTCACAAAAGTGTATTTCATTTTAAGGAATAAAATAACATGCATGGTTTCAGCAAAAACTTATCAAAACCTCCTCTGTGCCAGGAACTGTGTTAGGCACCAAAGAATGGAGTGGAGCCGGCCGGTGCGGCTCCGTGGACGGAGCGTCGTCCCAGGGACTGAGGGTCCCGGTCAGGCACAGCCCGGGTTGTGGGCTCGGTGCCCAGTAGGGGGCGTGCGGGAGGCGGCCGTCGATGTTTCTCACATTGATGTTCCTCTCTCTCCCTTCCTCTCCAAAACATCGATGAAAACATTAAAGAAATGAAGAAGAGTGAAGTTGAGCAGTTCCTACCCAAACACCTACGCTCTCACCGCACCGCAGGTGTAAACACAGCGTATGACATGGGCGGTGCCGGCGACGGCCCAGCGCAATACGGGTGCAGAGGGCGATGCCACTCGGGGTGCAGGGCCCTGACCTCCCCACCCCCACCGAGACCTGCTCAGTGAACACAAAGAAATGCTGAACCAACTAGCTGCGGAACATCACGCGGTCACCTTCCTCCTGTGACCTGGATTCTTGGGTTGCTCAGTGGTCACTGCCTCTGCGGATGACCCTCCACAAACCAGTGTCCTGTGCGGAGGTCCGTGTTCCTTCGTAATAAGGTGTGTTCTCTGCTCTGATCACCGAGTGGGGCTCCTGAGAATCCCAAGTGCGCTGATCTACTTGGAGGTGCTGAGAGCCCTCACGTGAAATGGGAAGGCAGGAACAGTTTTTATCCTGAACGAAAACCACAGGGCGGTATCTTTTCTGAAACGCTGGAAGTGTCTGTGTGAATTTTTGCAAATGAGGGAGATTTCCTGAGGAAGAGTAAAACGCGATACCCCAAAAGGAGCGGCTACTTGAGATCTCAATCAGGAAAGCAAGTTCTGACGAGGACACCAGGGTCTGAGGCAGAGGGTCTCCCCGCGCCCCCCGAGCCTGCTGTTCAGCTCGGTTCCACAGCGACCGCCTCGTGGGCTCCGGTGAACGGCGTGACCGGTGCGGGAATACTCCCCTCGACACGACCTGCTAGGCCGGCTCCCGGCATCACTGAATGTGAGCAGGTCAGAGCTGGATAAGCACGTACATCGGACAGTGAACCATCAGCGTCAGCAGCTGTGAACTCGGCGGAGTGGATCTCAACACAGAGACAGCCTGAAAATGTGTTCCCTGAGCCTAGCCTTCTGTGGCTGATCTGAGTTGTACTTTTCTAAAATGTTTGTATTGATTTTTAGAGAGAGAGGGAAGCAGAGAGGGAGAGAAACATCCCCCAGCTGCCTCCTGCACGCGCCCCACTGGGGATGAGCCCCCAACCCGGGCAGGTGCCCCGACGGGAATCGATCCGGGACCCCTCAGCCCACGGGCCGATGCTCAGTCCTCCGAGCCACCCCGGCCGGCTGAGTTGCACAGTTTTAAGAACACGAAACGAAGCAGAGCTGTGACTCCAGTCTGCTCTGGAGAACGGGGTCGTCTTCCAGGGGAGAAGGACGGGTGGGGGACGAGCGTTCAGCAGGTGCACGCGCTGAGGTCGGCGGGTGGGGGTAGGGGGCCGGGTGCAGGCAGGCGCGGCGGGACTGAGCGCGTGGTGTGTGTCTCCCGCAGACGGAAGCGGCTCTGATGTACGACGCGGTGCACGTGGTGGCCAGCGCCTCCCATCGGGCCGCCCAGCTGGCCGTCAGCTCCCTCCAGTGCCACCGACACAGGCCCTGGCGCCTCGGACCCCGATTCATGAAGCTGATCAGAGAGGCAAGTGCTGCTCACTCCCGCCGGTGCTGCGTCTGCCCAGCTCCGGGCGCCCCGGCGTGCGGTCCCCCCACTCGTGGGCTCTGCAGGCTCCACCCGCACCATCTGTCCATCTCGGGGCACCCCGGCGTGCGGTCCCCCCACTCGTGGGCTCTGCGGGCTCCCCCCGGGCCGTCTGCCCATCTCCGGGCGCCCCGGCATGCAGTCCCCCCACACGTGGGCTCTGCGGGCTCCACCTGCACCATCTGCCCGGCTCCGGGCGCCCCGGCGTGCGGTCCCCCCACATGTGGGCTCTGTGGGCTTCACCACGCCCTCTGCCCGGAATAGCAGGCGCTTCCCGGCGCGAGGCAGAGATGTTTACAGGAGCTGCCCGACCGCAGCACCCGCCCTCCTCGTGTCCCCCGCGGCCTCACACAGGTGACGGAGCTCGCGAGGGCTGGTCCAGGCCGGAGGGGAGGGTGGGTGGTCCGTCACGAAGGAACCAGAGACGGTCCCACCTTGCATCCACCGTCACAGTGGTCTCCTGAGTCCTGGGCTGTGCAGACTGGACATCACCTCGCGTTCGCCCTGAGGGTGCTGGCGGTGAGGTCCCTCCCTGGGTCAAGGTCAAGGTCAAGGTCAGCAGGCCGCGTCCTGGAGCACGGGGCATGTTCCTGGCAGGCAGTTAGACGGTACATGTCGAACTGAACCAAGGAAACTGAAATCTACCCAGCTCTTCTCGAGTGTTGATGAACGAAGAACTCTATCGCTAGTTCCTAATGTACTACTTAGGTGTGAAAAGCTGTTTCCCGGCAGACGAGCTGTCACGGAGACCCAGGTAAAATGTGGGCAGCTCTCCGCCACGGTTCTGCTATGGAAATGTGATTTGTCGGTTCTGTTTGGATGCAGTGAAGATTATATATTTGAATATATAAACAAGATCTTTAAATTTAAGCTTTTCAAAATCAAAGAGTAAAAGATAAAATTCTCCCCTGAGGCACTTACAGTCGCTTTAATGTTTATTTGGACTTGAACTTGGCAGGTCAGTATGGAGTTGCTGTGTTTTAATACGTGGATGCAGACTGGAAAGAATTTATAGCCCCTGGAGAAACGTCGGCTCTGACGTGGTTTCATCCACTGTGGCTCCGCGGAGTCACTTCCCGTGACTGCGGCCGGTGGCCTTGATGGCAGGTCACACTGTCCCTTGGGTTAATGGACGGTGCGGGATCTGGCCGCAGACCCAGTGAAATGCCCCCACCTGGAGGATTCTGAGTGTCTCCCCTCGAAGACGCCTGCTCCCCAGCTGCTCCCTCCACACCCGTCAGCTCCGCACCTCAGGGAGGGGTCTTCCGCCCTCCCCGCAATTCCCTGGATCGCTCCGCGGAGAAAGGAGCTCAGCTCCTGGATGTGCACAGTGTGCTCAGGTCTCACTCGTGATGAGCATCACCTCAGACACACGAAGGTGCTGAGACGCTTCTCCACAAAGGCCTCGGCCGGTGGCGGGCTGAGCAGTCATGGCAGGAATGAGGGCCGGGGGTCGGCACAGCACGGACGTCCCTCCGGTTCCCGTCCTGTCTGTGTTCTGGACCCCATGTGCGTCCATGAGCACGTTTAGACCGGCCCATCCCACAGCCTGTCCTGTGTGTGCACACACACACGGATGTGTTTAACTTACATGACCCTCGTTCATGATACATATCCACACGGAGTCCTATACACGAATGTACGAGCACATATATGGATGTGTGGACATATCTGCATTTATATCTGTGTGTGTGTGTATATCTGTGTGTGTGTGTATATCTGTGTGAGTGTATATCTGTGTGTGTGTGTATATCTGTGTGAGTGTATATCTGTGTGTGTGTGTATATCTGTGTGAGTGTATATCTGTGTGTGTGTGTATATCTGTGTGAGTGTATATCTGTGTGTGTGTGTATATCTGTGTGAGTGTATATCTGTGTGTGTGTATATCTGTGTGTGTGTGTATATCTGTGTGAGTGTATATCTGTGTGTGTGTGTATATCTGTGTGAGTGTATATCTGTGTGTGTGTGTATATCTGTGTGAGTGTATATCTGTGTGTGTGTGTATATCTGTGTGTGTGTATATCTGTGTGTGTGTGATTCCGCAGTTTGCCTTTGCAGTCAATCTCAAGTTTGGAAATGTGTCTCAGCTGACTCATGCTTATTATTCATCTCGTTCACTCATTTTCATTGAAAGCTAGTCCGCCCTCATTCGTTTATCTGGCTGCACACCCACCAGGTGGCAGTCAGCGTTCCGGAGGCCAGGAATGCAGCAGTCAGCAAACAGCCCTCCCTGTCCGGCACACGAGGCTCCAGCCGGGATGGACAGGAGGAAACGGGGCGTGTTCAGTGCCGACCAGGGTTATCGAAAAGCCGAGCTCCTGAGGGGAAGGTGCGCAGGGTCCTGGGGAGAAACGGGGGTTCCTGGCTCATGTAGAGGCGTCAGGACGCTGCTCCGCAGGTCCAGTAGGAAGATGATGAGCCACAGAGATGCTGGAATTTCTAGTAGCCACATTAAAAACTTAAGAAAATGAAAACAGGGCCCTGGCTGGTTTGGCTCAGCGGTTAGAGCATCAGCCCATGGACCAGAGAGTCCCAGGTTCGATTCTCGCTAGGGGCACGTACCTCAGTTGCAGTTTGTCTCCGGACGCGATTGGGGTTGTGTGGGTGGCAACCACTCGATGTGTCTCTCTCACATCGATGTTTTTCTCTCTCCTCCTCCCTCTCTCCCTCCCGCTCTATCTGAAGATAAATGCAAAAATATCCTTGGGTGAGGGTAAAAAAAAACAGGTAAAATTAATTTTAATGATATATGTTATTTACCCCAATAGATTAAAATATCATTTTACCACACAATCAATATAAAATTAGTATTTTATTTTCCTCATAGGTCTCTTAAATCCAGTTTGTATTTTAAACTTGTGGCCCTCAGTTTGGCTGAGTCACATGTCCAGTGCTCAGCAAATCTTGGTGACTGAAGAGATTCATTCCTGAATGCAGTACCCAGCCAACCAGCCCAGCTAGAGAAAGATAAAAACTAAACCCATGCGGGCTCCAAATTTTTATCTTCGTAGACAAGGAGCATATTGATTACCTGTAAGTTAATTACCTACCCAATGAAGACAATAATCTGAACGATATGGCCAGTCGTTAGGGTAATTCCAGACCATGATTAGATCTCCGGGGCTCAGCGCTCACATCATCTACCTCCCGTCACACCCGCCGGGTCTCGGGTGCGTGTTCTCGCCCACATGGTTGACCTCTGAGTTCAGAAACCAATTCCTTACATTTTGACAAACAGGTCACCCCATGAACCAGCGCAAAAGGACACAAGTTGATGTCACAAGAAGAGCCAGGTGCACCGTCTAAGATAATCCCCGAGGAAATAACAGGTGTCACCCAGCTTGCACGGTGCCGCTGGAGTTAATCAAGTCAGCAGAGTTCGCGTTGGGAATCCAGTATTGGCAAGAGAAGCTATTATATTTTTAAATTATGCTGTGATCCATGCGAGCTGTTATCGCAAGATAATGGGTTATAAACGACACACATAATAATTAAAATAATTACATATCGAACAGATGCGAACATGACAAATGCGCCCTATCCGCTCCTGGAATAACTGACCTCCAAGGGAGCGATGTGCTCTAAGGTTATGTTTATCGTTTCTTCCTTTGCTTAGTGTTTACTTTCCTCTCCATTGTTATGCATACTTTAGATTTGTTTTAAAATAACTTTCCTGGCAGCTGGCTTACCGTTGTGGGTGAGTGGACAGGAGGGCGCATTGCGTGGGTGGAGGGTGGGTCTGGGTGCGTCGTGCTCCGGGACACGAGGCGGTGATTACGCAGGGAGCGTGCTGGGCTGTGCTCACCCGGTAGGTGCAGAAGGAGCCACCCCCATGGAAAACAAAGTAACTTGCGATGAATTGCACTTGTTACCCCTTCCATTCAGGGCGCAGAGCCCAGGGTGGACTGGTTTTTGAAATCCGTAAAATTCTTCCTCTGTTTTCTTTTCTCTGCACCATCTCCCCCAAGGTACCATTGTCTCTTTCTTCCTGTCAGTGATGACGTGAAAAAGGGTCAGCAAAATGAAAATGTGTTGAATAAATGAATGACTGTCTGCCTTAAGGGCTCAATCAATGTCTGAAGGGCCATTCCGTCCACCCACTCGCCGTCCAGTAGGGAATTCCTTGAGCTGGAAAGTCTTCAGGTTCAAAGGCAGATCTTTGCGCTGGCTGACCTTGTGGGGCCAATAGACTAAACCTGGCTGCCCTCCCGTCTCCGCCGGGACACCGTGCCCTCGAGATGATCGGATGACTGTGGCCCTTCAATGGGCAGGTGGGGGCAGCTTGTCCCAATGTTCGGGAGGAGAGAAAGGGACAGGCCCTGAACCCTAGGCCACAGGCTCAGGGTCGTCCTGACCTCCTGATCCCCAGGGCTAGCGACACTCTTCCGCTACTTAAAAGTGTGTGACCTGTGGAAGTGCTACCTCATCCAGTCACACCTTCTGCAAGCATCTCGGATATGTATCCAATGCAGACGATGAAATTCAAGGACGAGGAAAATTTCAGCCATCTAGCAGTTAAGTATCAGAGAAGAGATGGCTAACACAGTTAACGTGATATTCAATTATTTTGTGTAAATACATAGTTGGGGTAACACAAATACTTGACAATAGTGAACATGAGACCCAGGAGGTATGTCAGAGAGTTAGCAGGTAGCCCCCTTACAAGAACAGAGACTATAACCATATTTTCCCCTTAAAATATTTGCAATCCATAACTCCAATTTCCCCCTTTTAGTCTGAGCAACATGTTTCGGAATAACCCCTGTAACAGCCTCAGAACTTCTGAAAAGTGGCTCAGTAGGCATCATTTATTTTCAAATTCTTCCCCGTGACTGGAACCCCCCATTAGGCTCACAGAGCAAACTCCTTCTACGGTGCACATTGGAAATGCACTGGGCACTTTGTTAATATAATTGATTGTTCTCCAGACTGCCCAGACCTGGAACGGTACGCTCAATTGCATTAACAATTGATGGGGTTCAATACTGAGATTAATCAGTAAAATTATGACCAGAGTAGATGAGTCAGTTAACAGAAACTGGAGGAAGACTGCCCAGCACCACCGGCTGATACAACCCTCTGCGAGACGCGAACAGGAGAGATGGTGCTTTCCTGTGTGCTCGGGGCCACGGAGGACGGGTGCCCACAGCTCAGCTCGCATCTAGTGGAGCCATAGCTTAGAGCTACAAGGTTCTGACGATAAAATTTTAATTCAGATTTTTTTAACAAAGATAATCAGAAGTCAGGCACTATTTTCCTGTGTTAGGCTTGTGTGTTTGGCTCAGCAAGTCCATTGCTTTCATGACTTGGGGGTAGACCAATCATTTAAAGAAGGAAAGCTAAACAGTGTGTATTAGTACAAGCTAAACACTAACCCCTCTCAGTGTGTTAAGATGCTGTACTTCAAATATGCATGTGTGCACACACATGCATTCATATGTACACACGTCCATATGCATGTGCACACTGCAGTCATTTGCACACAAACATCCACATGTACATGCATTCACATTGCACACATTCACGTGCGTGTACTCATTCATATGCACACAAAGTCATGCACACACTTGCATTTATGCACACGCACATTCATGTGCACATGGATTCACATGCACACACATGCAGGCATTTGCATGCACATTCACATGTACATGCATTCACATCACACACATTCACGTGCATGTGCACATTCATGTGCACACATATTCATGTGCACACACATTCACGTGCATACACAATCATGTGCACACATTCACATGTGTGCACACATTTATGTGCACACACATTCACATGCACACATATTCACGTGCACACATTCACGTTTGCACACATTCACATGTGCACACACATTCACGTGTACACACACACTTGCGTCCTAGAATTCAAGAAAAACTTCTGTCTCGTTTGGTCCTGTCACTCACGAACCATGTCACTCTGGGCAAGTGCATCAGCCCTTTGTCTCTGTGACCTAAATTTCCATGGTTCTGTTCTTATAGCAAATGTTCTAAAAAGTGAAAGGGAGGCTGATCAACTGCTTTCCACCCTGATAGTCTTATCTGCTCCCTGGGTACCTTCCTCTCTGCCGCACAGCGGACGAGCCAGGGGCATCGTAGACAGAGATCAGCCTCTCCTTGTGGGCAGCCCGCTGGGACGGAGTCTCCACAGGCTGGTGGTCAGGTGCACCCCGAAGTGTCTACCCGTGTGGGTGCCAGAACCGTCCCCTCTGCCAGCCCCCGGCCGGGACTGCTCTAGTGTAACGTTCCTCTTCCCTGCTACCGGGACTGTTGCATCTGTCTCGTGAGGGGCGCTAAATTGCTGTGGCTTCCTGCCAGAGAGGGGTTCAGCCACGGAGCACAACCTTGAACCCTTCACGAGGCCCAGAAGGTGAGGACATCTCTGAGGGTTGAAAGCCAGTCGCCGTGGGAGTCCTTTGTTCGTACAAACTGTGTTCAGTTGAAGAGATCAGGAGAAAAACAAATCACAGCAACTGGCAGGAAATAAGGAAGAACCAGGCCTCTCCACAGGTGGTCACTGCGGGTGGACGCGGTGTGGGGAGCAGGCCAGGGCCCAGGGAGCGAATCCCCCACTTATCTACCACCTGAAGGCCGGGGGCGTGTGGGGCTGACCCTTCCAGGTCCCAAGGCTGACCCTCCTGAGGGGGCTCACGCGTTCATCAGGACAAACAACGCCAAGCGCAGTGCTGGGGGAGGCACACGGCGCTCAGTCGCCCCGAAGGCCACCCCGGGGCCGGCCCAGGAGCAGGAGTGACTGGCAGGGACAGTTGGGAACATGCAGTGTTGTCAGCGTTCTACATCTATCTGCTCCCCGACACCCCGACATCCCGGCGAGCCTCATCCTCATCACGAGGACGCCGAGGTTTAGCCCGGCAGGGTAGGTGGCCGAGGCCACGCGCTGGACCTTCTCGGAGCAGTTACGCCGTGAAGCCGACCGTCCCAGTGGCTGAGCTCCTGCCCCTCAAATCCGAGACCCCAAAGTCTGAAGGTTGCGAGATGGAGCTTTACTCTCTGCGCAGTGGTAGCCAACCCGCACACCCCAAAACACTGCGCTGTACTTCTTCACTGATGTTTGCCTGTTATTTATTTAAACAAATGTTCCTAATACCCGTGTGTAATTGCGAACATTCAGCAGAATTTCTCCGAGCCCATGGCAAGGCTGTGGCCCCTCCCCACCACGGGAGTCTGAAGAGGCCGGGCCGGCCTGGGCTTTCTCTGCCTGGGGGAGGGGGGGGGTGCTGGCTGCATCCGGCCAGTGGAAGTTCAGACTCTGAAACCACAGTGCTGCCCACCACACTTCCACCGCTCTCATGTGCATCACAGAGTATTTGTAGTGAGAACTGAAAAGCTGTAGACTAAAAATACAGTCACCCGTAACTTTTCCACCGCTCAGTTATTCAGCAACTTAGCCCACCGGGCAGAGTGACGCCTCACTCCCTGAATGTGCCGTGCACAGGAGGGTGGCCTGGACTCCCCAACCCCTCATGTTGCAGGTGGGGAAACTGAGATCAGAGTGTAGGCATGAGTCCCTGAAGGACGCCCGGCCGGTGTGGCTCCGTGGTTGAGCGTTGACCCTGCACCAAGAGGTCGCTGGTTCGAGCACTTGGTTCAGGTGTCCTCTCAGGGCAAAACAGGGTGTTTTCTCATCTACCCTTTTAGGTTCTTGACTGAGAAACCCCCGCAATAAAAAACAGTAACAGGAGAAAAGCAAACAAGTTTAATAACAGGTGTACCCCTGTGTACATGGAGGGGTAACGGAGCAACTCTCCAAATGGAAGCAGCCATCACCTGAAATACCATCTCAGCTGAGACAGGAGATGTTGGGGGGCAGCTGAGACAGGAGGAGATATTGGGGGAAGCTGAGACAGGAGGAGATATTGGGGGCAGCTGAGACAGGAAGAGATATTGGGGGGCAGCTGAGACAGGAGGAGATGTTGGGGGGAAGCTGAGACAGGAGGAGATGTTGGTGGGGAGGTCCCAGGAAGCAGGGTGAGGTCATCATGCAGAGCTGAACCCCAGCCTTGCCCACTGAGGAGAGTGTCTACAGGTGTGGTCGCCCCACCCTCCCTGGGACAGAGGGGAGACCCCCTTACAGGTGGAAATCCCCTCACAAACATCAGTTACTCTTCCCAAAGGGTCAGTTCTACTTGGTTCTCAGAGCTTCTCTGTCTCTCCTGTTTTTAAACATAATCACCCTAAAATAATCCTCAGGCCAAAGCGACGTATTTTGGGGAGGAAAATCCTGCTCCCTGTGATGCCAGCCGATGGGGTGGGAGGGTCGTGGGGACAGCTGGGAGCAGTACGGCAGAGAGGCGTCTGTGCCCAGGCCCCGGGAGGTCGTTTCGGGGAGCGGTGTTCCTCTAATGGGGACCCTGGATCGCCAGGTCTGTTCCCTTCTACCGGCTGCTCCGGCCTCCCAACCGAGGGCGAGTCTCCGTCGTCTGAAGCCACCAAGTTCATGGCGGTTTGGGGCAACGGGAAATTAATATAATGGCCGACGGACATCGGAAGGCCTGAGGCACCCTGACACTTCAGTCATCACTGAGTTGTGTTGTTTTCACAGAGAAAAATGAAAGGAAGGGGCGTGCCCCCCCCCCCCCCGCCCCGGGGAGTTTCCTGACCCTGGACCGCTGACCCCGGGCTCCCGGGTGCATGCTCCCCCACCCTGTCCCGCGCACGCTGTTGGGATCGGTGCTGTTCCAGACCTGACGGGCTGAGGGTGTTCGAGCTGACAAAGCAAATGCCCTGGGAACAGTGCGGTGAGGGGGGAGGCCTGTCCCCCGATGGAGCCGAGGACCTGGAGGCTGCGGGTTCGAGGAGCGGCAGGGGGTGTGACCGTGATGATTAGTGATGGTGACACGTCCCTTTGCCACAGGCTCGCTGGGACGGCTTGACCGGACGGATCGCCTTCAACAAGACCGACGGCTTAAGGAAGGATTTCGACCTGGACATCATCAGTCTCAGAGAGGAAGGAACTGAGAAGGTAACCTCCCCGGTCATGAATGTAAAAATGAAACAAAATGTACCACTCAGGCATCTTCATGGAGAATACAGTTCAGGGGATGAAAAAGTGGTTCCCTCGACGTGTCCGTTCCTGCTCCCCCTCCAGCTCACTGACGCGCTATGTTCTCAGTTCCAGGCCTTAGCGAGAGCCACGCGGAGGGGCCTTCGCGCAGGGCTGGGCTCCCGCTCGCGCGTGATGGTACCGACACAGAACCCGTTTCTCACGGGACTTAAAAAATTAAGTTCAGCCCTGGCCGGTTTGGCTCAGCGGTTAGAGCGTCGGCCTGTGGTCCTGAGAGACCCGGGTTCGGTTCCCGCTAAGGGCACGTACCTCAGTTGCAGTTTGTCCCCGGCCCTGGTCGGTTGTGCGGGTGGCAGCCACTCGATGTGTCCCTTCACGTCGATGTTTCTCTCTCTCTCTGATCCTCTCTCTCCCTCCCACTCTACCTGAACAAAAAATGAAAAAATGTCCTCGGGTGAGGATAAAAAAAAAAAAAAAATTAAGTTCAGACTTAAACAGGCAGCCTGAACTGTGGAATGGCCTCGGGCTGGACGTTAGCTCCACTCCAGCAAGGGGCCCGAGGAAGGCAGCCCAACTCGCGTCTTCATCGTAAGAGGAAATAGGCCAAACACGTATTTAACGTTGGATTCCGATTTCAGGGTTGTCTCCGTTGTAATTCTCAGTCTGTCAACCTGTAAGGTTCCATTTCAGTGATGATTTGGAGCAATTCAAATGTAAACTGTTCAAATAAGAAGAATAAAATAGAAGTTGGCTTCCCGGTATATTTTATGATATCAGTTTTAGTATTCACAACGATAATTTGGGGTTAACACTGTCGTGTGAAGATTGTGCCCTTTGGAAACTTAAAGACTTGAAAACCCCCAAACCATCGTCTGAACAGAGAGCTCTGGCCTGTGTATTCTCTGCTCTGGCGGACGGGAGGCTGAGCCTGAGGCACGGCGTCGACTTAATTAAAATGAGACCCAGTTTCCAGTTCTGTTCTGTTGTGTTCTGAACCAGACACATTGTTTCTAGGTTCTAACTGGGTCCCACCCCCAAATAGCATAATTGAAACAGAGTAATTAGGCTGAATATAAAAGCAGCTGGCCTTGGTATGGAAATATTTGAGGAAAATAGTTTGCAGCTTTGAGAGCACGGACTGTACCAGATTATACACGCAGGTTTCTCCCTCCCCCCACCCTCCCTCCCCCACCCTCCCCTCCTTCCCTCCCCCTCCCCCACCCCCACCCTCCCCTCCTTGCCTCCCCCTCCCCCAGGAGCTCCCTCACCCTGATCCACACACTGCGGGGAGCAGGGCCTCCGCCTGGTCCGGATGGGACGTGGGTCTGGACCGGAGGGAAGAAGGAAGGGAGAGAGGCGAGTTCCTGTTACGGACTAAATGCTGGTGTTGAACACCTGCTCCTGTGCCTGTGTCTCTGCAGCACAGACCGGAGGGAAGGGAGGGAAGAAAGGCCACTTTGACAGACGGCACATAGATGCCCCTCTGGCCGTGTTCCAGGGAGACCCTGCAGGAGCGGCACTCGGCTGTGTTTCTGCAGCCGAGGCAAAATCAAACCAGATGAAACTTTCTCCATGTCCCTCACCTCCTCCTGCCTTGCAGTAACTTGTCTTCCTTCAGGTGACTCGGGCTCAGCTCTGGGGCAGGTGGAATGGGCCTGTGGGCAGTGGGGAGCCCGGCCACCTTCCTCTGCCCGGGAGGAAAAGCCCAGTCTGCAAAGCAGCCTCTCCTTGGGCCACGGGGAAATGGTTGCAACTGGCTCATTTTCTCACTTTCACTCAAGTTTCTCCTGCTTGGAAGCCCCTAGTCATAGAATAAGTCATCAAGAATGCTCTCTTCTGGCTTAAGAATAGTATGCACATGTGTGCATGTGTGTGCAAGTGTATGCATGTGTGTGCATGTGTATGTCTGAGTGCAATTGTGCCTGTATGCACATGTTCATGTGTGTGCCTGTGGGAGGTACATGTGTATGCCTGTGTGCAAGTGTGTGTGCCTATGTGCATGTGTGTACATGTATGCACATGTGTGTCGGTGCAAGTGGGTGTGCCTATGCACGTGCGCATGTGTACATGTATTCACATGTGTGTGCGAGTATGTGTGCTTATGTGCATGTGCGCATGTGTACATGCATTCACATGTGTGTCTGTGTGCAAGTATGTGTGCCTGTGTGCGTGTGTGTACATGTATTCACATGTGTGCCTGTGTGCAAGTGTGTGTGCACATGTGTGTGTGTGTGTGTCTGTGTGTTGACTGACTGATTTGGGTGATGAAAGCCTCGAACAGGTCTTCTTAAGGAAGAATGAAGACCTGTCAACGCTCCCGCACAGCTGTGCGTACTCTACAGAACTCAGAGCCATGTTCGTGGTTCGTGAGAGGGGAAGGGACAGTCGGGTGATGGTGCCGCCGAGCAGGGGGACTTCTGTGGCCCAGAGCTCGGCTCCCCCGCTGCACCTGCTCTCCGACCTCCCGCTGACCGTGGTGCAGATCCCAGGCGGCGGGGGGGACGGCGCACTGAGCCCCCACTGGTGATGCCTCTGGGTTTTATGTTTTGTTTTAATTAAGTGCTATTTTTATTTTTCCCTTTGAAAACCAAGGCTGCTGGCGAGGTGTCTAAACACTTATATAAAGTGTGGAAAAAGGTTTGTACTCAGAAAAAAATCTGCAAGAAATGGGGGTAGGGGGTGGGCTGTCCCGGGAAAAGCCCGCCCCGCCTGGTTCCCACGCCTGCAGCCAGCCCAGGGCTGCGCTCCGGGAGGGAGGGTGGGTGTGCAACATGTTGTCTCCCCACAACTACCTGGGAATGAACGCAGGCTGGTGACGGACCAAATGATGCTGGATTCAATATTTCCCGATGTTGCTTCTGTCTCTCTGGGACAGGCTGTCTCTGTGAGGGCTGAACAGAACCAGACAGGTTCATTTACATGTTGTCTTAAATCACTGCATTTCCCCCCTTAGGGGCATGAAAACAATCAAAGATTTGATCCGTCAGACTAGTCAGACAGACTGAGGCAGGGACAGCAAGGACTCCTCCTCCAGGTCACCACCAGCCGTGTCCAGGCTCAGAAGCCCCCTCCCCCAAGCCGGCTTTGCAAGTTCCCAGGGACAAACACGTTAGGATGCTGGAAGGGACATTAGATCAGCTTATGATTGTGACGTAAGCACATGTCAGACACTGAAACATCCGGACCAGGAATGGCCGGGTGGCGCGCAAACCGCGTCTTCCCTTCTGTCTCTGAAACATCTCGCTGCGGTGTCTGTGGGTTGACACACGTGGGCTTGCGTTGCGTCAGGTGCTCACGGGAACGGCCCGTCGGCTCCCGTTCATCTTTTGAACGAGCAGTTAGATCGCAGGAAGTGTCAACAGCTTCTCCCTGTCGCCAAAAGCGTGTGCAGGACTCAGTAGATGAGCTTGAAATTGGCCTCTTTTCAAGTTTAAAGAATCCACAGATTCATTGACCTTGTTTTCATCTCCAACCACTGGGGCCGCCACGGGCGCAGAGAAGGCGTCCGGTCTCCTCGCTCGAATCGGCAGGTGAGCCTGGCGCCCAGAGAGAAGCTCGGGACGCTCGTCCGCGGGAGATTCGCGTGGAATCCATTGAACCAGCACCCGGGGTGGAGTGTGAGCCCTGGAATCATGCGTGGGGCGGGGGTGTCCTCTACACACGACTACAGCCCAGGAATCACCCCACCTCCACAGTCCACACCTGCCCCTCGTGCCCGCTGCCCGCTCCCCCGCCGTGAGTGTGCCCTGTGGTGTGCCGCTTCATGTCACGGCCACAAGAGACGGTGACCACGTGCCAGCACCCGACTGCAGACACACGTCCCCCGACAAGTCCCCTCCGAGAGAAGCTTCACAGTCACATCCCGGGCAGACCAGGGCCCGGCCTCCCCCCGAAAGGACGGCGTAGCAGCCTCGCGGGCCCGCCGCGGACTACGTGCTCCGAAGGCTCAGACACAAAAGCAGATGCGTCTTTGTCTGCTGAGACGTGTGGTCCTTCCCTCAGCAGTCTGTCCGGGGTTCCGGTCTGTGGGCAGCCCGGTGTGGAAGGTGGAGGGAGGGACGGGTCAGTCTTGGTGCATCGCCTTCCATGGAAATGTGTTTGCTGTGCCGTCCGGGCCCTCCCTGCGGCGCGTCCTTCGCTGTCCCGGCCGCCGGCCGCTCCACTTGGCACTTACAGAGCGAAAGGCAGGACCAGATGGGTCAGCGTCTGGGGTTCAGGGTTCGTACCCACAGATGAGCGGCCCACCCTCCCACCTCCCACGGTAAACATGGCTGCCGGTTGTCGCTCTGCGTTCTGAGCACAGGCCCCACGTCCGGGAGACGCTCCTGCACGGGCAGCGCAGGACGGAAATCTCACCGTCGGGGCGTCGGTTAGCTGCAGCCTCCCCTGCTCCCAACACAGGGCTCAGGGACCGGCTTCCTCCGAGACACGCTCCGTGGCTGATGTTCACATGCTCTGTCAGCCGCTGGGAGAGCTGACCGCTCCCGTTTAAAACGCACACTCACGTGCACACGCACACTCACATGTACGCACACACTCACATGCACACACACACACTCACGCGCACACTCACACTCATGCACACTCACATGCACACACTCACATGCACGCTCACACACATGCACACACACTCACACATGCACTTTTGTTCTGCTGATCAGGGTTTGACAGCAGAAGGTCGGCCGTGCACGTTGCAGATGGACACTGTCTCCGTCCCCGGGCAGCGGGCCCTGTGACGCCCTCTCCGTCTGGATTGGAAGGACCTTCTGCTACACGGGGAGCAGGAAAAGGAACCCCCTCTCCTCTCATTTCTTGGAGGACCGTGGCCTCTGGGATCGAAATGCAGCCACAATGTCTCACCGTCTGCCCGTCCGGTGGGGCTGGTGAGGGAGATACACGCAGGCAGCGAGCTGGGGGTGTATCTGTCGACAATCTCAAGTTTGTGTTTAAAGGGAGAATGATATTGTAAGGCTGTTCGACAGACAGTGTCTTTAAACACACACTCGACATTCCAGGAGCGAAGGGGACACATTCCGTCACTGAGCGAAGGGACTGCAAACGGTTAATCCTCCACCTTTAAATACTTGACTGAAAAACAGGCTCCAGCCTCCCCAGCGCCTCAGTCGGTTCAGCTAGAAGCACAGCCGGGACCCAGTTCACACACGCTCTGCGTAGACAGACGACGCCCTTGGCGCACAAGCGAAAGCTCGGCTTTGGGTGACACGAGACCCAGGTGGGTTCTGCCCGGCAGAGTCCCGACCTCGGAAAAGCGGGAGAAGGGAGGAGGCTGAGAGAGAAGGAGCGTCCTCCTCCGGGGGTTAAAACCAGCTGAAGGAAACGGAAGATCCCGCGACCGGCAGACCTGGCGTGCGCCGGGGACCCTCCCGGGTGGGCCTCTCCGCGGTGCCGGGTGGACCAGACGGTTATCACAGGCTCCGCCCTGCCTGCGCCCCCTCCAAGAACCTCTTCACGGCCCGGATCCAGACGCCGTCTCCTGCAAAACCACCTCCAGCCCCTTCTACCGAGAGGGGCTCCTGTTGCACCCCCAGCGAGCCCGGCGACGGAGAGAGAAACCCAGTTCATCTGCCTGAGTGTGTGATAGTCCTTGAAACTTTCTCAAAGAATGTTCGTCTCTAAAGCATATTTGTCGAGCTAAATGGATTTCCCGGGGCTGTATTAGGCGGTAAATCAAAGTAAAGAAAGAGGAAACAGGAGAGAGGCCGAGCGTCCCCTGGGCGCCGGGTTATTGAATCAGCGGGAAAGCGTCTCATCTCCATTTCGCTGGTGAGGACCTCGAGGCTCCCGGGGTGACCACCGCTCCCCAGGTGACCCTGCAGGAAAATTGCAAAGCTGGGGTCTGGACGGAAGTCGGTCATGAAGTTTACCCGTTACCCCGCCGGCCACGTGTGGTCCCGCCACAGACACGCTGCGGAATCTGCCTGGGTCCCCGTCCACACCAGTCCGTTCGAGGGTCAGCACGCCTCGCCCGTCCTGCTGTCCGTGGCTCCTTGCTTTTTCTGCTTCTGAATTTGAACAACAACCGCCTACGGACGGTTCCAGGTTCACTCACAGAGGGTGAGCTTGAAGGTGGTGCCGCTGACCTGGTCTCAGTTCCCCCATCACGGGGTGTAGTCAGAACCGGAGCTCAGGACGGTCAGCATCTTGTCCGCGGCCCCAGCGGGCAGGTCGCCTGGCTGGGGGGCACGTCCGTGTCTGGGCACCGGGCTGGCGGTCGATGCGGACAGAAGCTTCAGACAAATAGTCCCCTGAGCTCTTCTCCTGGGCTCCTCGAGAGGCCAGACACAGCCCCCCTTCTGTGGGCGGGATGACCCGGGAGCGAGGCCCTGCACCCCTGTGGACGGTCTCCTGGAGGGGCCGGGGTCTGACAGACAGCTGCCCTCTGGCGTGAAGGAGGAGCGGTCAGCATGGACGCCCTGTGGGGGAGTTTGTGCTCCAGACAGGAAGACAGCAACAGGGGAGAGGCACAAACAGGGTCCTTCCTGGTCCCCGAAACCCCTCCGGCTGCTCCCCAGGAACAGACGCCAGAGCTCGGTCTCCACTGGCGGCACCTTGGCCCCCGCTCACCCTCCCTTTTCAGACGCCCGATCCCTCCGTCCCCTCCGCTCCCGCCGCCGAGGCCTCGTTGACTCTCCGGACACTGACGGACGGACGGACGCTTGGGCATCTGGGCTGGTGTCGGGTGCGTGGCTCCCTGGGGCAGAATGTCTGTCCTGGCCACGGCCCGGCGCCCAAACCAGTGCCTGGCAGGCCCGCAGGTGGTCAACTGATGTGTATTCAAAGAAAACCTGATGCTCTTTGGAAGAAAATAATTCTGCATTCAAAAATAATAAACTTAATAAATTCGAAACCAAAAGGCCTCCCGCCCTCCACCCCAGGCAGACGTTCCTGTTCCGTCCACACCTGTTCGTCTGTTCTTTCCTTTCCTGCACCTGTAGCTTGTGACGCCCCGGGTCCTCCCCAGCCCTGAGCCCACGTGGTCCCGTGCGAGGGGCCCCTGGAGGGACACCGGCCCCGCCAGCCGCGGCCCCTGACGCTCTGTGTTCCGTGCAGATTGGGATTTGGAACTCCAACAGCGGCCTCAACATGACGGACAGGCAGGGGGACAAGGGCCACCACGTCAGCGACTCGCTGGCCAACCGCACGCTCGTGGTCACCACCATCCTGGTAAGTGGGCGGCGCGGAGCGCAAGGCGTCTCCCCCCGTCCTCGCGTCCGGACTCCCACCGGCCTCGCAGGGGACCTGCGTCTCCACGCCCACATCCCTGTCCCCCAAGGTCCGGTCAGTGGGGAGCGTGAGGGTGTAGCCCCCTGAAGGGAGCGAGTGATGAGCTTCCGAGATGTTCTGTGGACCCTGCTCCGCCCGCCGCCAGCCACCCAGCCGGGGCCCCTGGCGGCCGGTTGGCTTCCAATGAGTGGGGTTCTGGCAACATGTCGGGGGGGTGGGGAAAATACCAGAGGACAAGTCTTCCCCCCTCCCTCGGGCTCTGCCAGAAACTCTCCTCACGGGCTCCTTCCCACCTACCATCTGTTCACACCCGGCCGTCCTGGGCCCAGGTGCCTGCTTCCCCGGCCCGCCTCCGCCCCGAGTGTACCCCTTCCTGTGAGGCCGGCCCAGGGGCTCCACCTTCTCTGGCCTCCACCGGGGGCTCCCTCTGCCCTGCTCCCTCCTGGGCAAACAGCCGCTTCGTTAATAGTCTCCGAAACCCAGGTAAGGCTCCTTCCCGCTTCCTGTTGGACCACTGGCCGTGCACCCGTCCAGCCCCCGTCCACGCACAGGTGTTCACGCGCCCCGTCCGCGGCCCTCGCCCTGGGAGAAGGGGCAGGACTGGCCACGTCGGGGCTTTGCTGTCACACCTTTCTGCTCGATTGGATGCAGCCCCTGATGTCCACCTAACTCATTTCTAAGATCGCTAACTCCTGAGACGTGTTCACCCAAACTGAAACGGTGGTGTTTTCCCGGTGACTACTTTCTCCGCCACTATATGCGGGATCGCCGAGTTCTCGGTTTCTGTCGGTTTGTTGGAGGGTAACAAAGGTCTTAACGGTCAGAAATGCAAATGAGAAGAAATAAAAGGACATTTCAGCAGTCTGGTCACTGGTCGAATTCCATGAAGTAAAATAAAGTCCTGATTAGTCAAATGAGAAGTAAGCGCGTTGATACTTGGTGGTAAGAAAACGCGTTGATGCGCAGAACAGGATTTCCCGTTTCAGCATCTTAGCCGAGAACGGCCCAGTGCAAGGTTCAGGTGAGGTCAATTAAGAAAATGAAGCTGATGTAAAAAAGACATAGAAATACTGTTTGAATAAGACACTGAAGCCAGCCAGCACAACACGCAGAGCTAGTGGAGGAAGAGCGGAATGAAGGTGAACCGTGGTCCAGACATAGGGGCCTGAGAGTGTTCGGGGAGTTGAAGAAGGAGAGATGGATGAGCCAGTGCGGATTTACTCACCTGTGTCAGCAGGTGACGCTCAGTTAGACGCCAGGCGGCAGGCGCGTCTGGCAAAGGGTCCGTGAGTGGGTGCGTCTGTCCCCCGGCTCTCTGCCGGCCTGAACTGCAGTTGTGCCCGAGTCTGCCCGACCGGTCCCTCGATGTCCTTTCCAGAGAGGGGAGAGAGGAATGACATGTGCGGCTGTCTGCATTCGCAGAGTACGGGAGAAGCGTTTAGCAAAGACGGGGAGCTGAGGGAGTGATTTCGGGGCTCCCGCCGCTCAGAAATCATTCCGCGTGCCCTGTGACGGCCGCTGCCGGCGCCGCCCGTGGGGTGAGCTCGGGCCCGTGTCCGCGTTGTTCCCGCAGGAAGAGCCCTACGTCATGTACAGGAAGTCCGACCGGCCCCTGCACGGGAACGACCGGTTCGAAGGCTACTGCCTGGACCTCTTGAAGGAGCTGTCCAACATCCTGGGCTTTATTTACGACGTGAAGCTCGTCCCCGACGGCAAGTACGGAGCCCAGAACGACAAGGGGGAGTGGAACGGAATGGTCAAGGAGCTCATGGATCACGTAAGCCAAGTCCGCCTTCACGCGTGGGTCTCGGTGTCTGGGGACAGCCCAGGAGGGGTGAGGGGCGAGAGCGAAGTGGCCGGTCAGAGTCAGAAGCGATAGTCAGAAATATTTCCGTGTCTCTGAATCCTGACGATGGCTTTGAAGGCAGGAGAAAACCTGGAGACAGTGTTGCTTACTTGGACGGGCCAGTGAGGTTACAGATCCAAGGCGAGACTGTGGGCCTTCGTGTGGAGAACCAACCTGAGCGGTTCTCACGGCAAACGACGCGTCCTAAGGTCCGCGGCCCAGAGCAATCTCGTCTGGTCGGCTACCTGACGGCCAGGTGCTGCCCCGTGGTTTTCTCGCAGGCTCTTCAGAAGACATCACCCTGCAGCTTTTCGTCCACTTCGTTCCAGCGTGTACACACGTCTGGGCCTGTCTGTCTGTCTGGGTGTATTTCATACCTCTGGTCTCTGTTTCTTAAAAAACACGCTTCCCTGGCTGTAACTGTGTGTCGGCCTGTGTTATGTTAGAGCCCCTGGTCGCGGAAGCCTCTTACCTGGGCAGCGCCAGAGCTGGGGATAAGGAGGGGGACCCGGAAGCAGGCCGGGCATTGGCCGGGAAGCAGACACTGAGACAGTGGCCTCACTTGCTTTTGCAGAGGGCCGACCTGGCCGTGGCTCCGCTCACCATCACCTACGTGCGGGAGACAGTGATCGACTTCTCCAAGCCCTTCATGACCCTGGGCATCAGCATTCTCTACCGGAAGCCCAACGGCACCAACCCAGGGGTCTTCTCCTTCCTCAACCCCCTGTCCCCCGACATCTGGATGTACGTGCTCTTAGCCTGCCTGGGGGTCAGCTGTGTGCTCTTCGTGATTGCAAGGTAGGTCCCAGAACCCCTGGACCCTGAGCCACAGCCGAGACCAGTCAGTCTCGGGCGGCCCTGCGTGCCCGGCGGGGGGCAGATGCGGAACTGAAGGTGGCATTTTGGTTGTGCCGAGTGCTGTGTCCTGTCACGTTCTCCCTCGTAAGAGCCATTTGGTAGATGGATTCTTCTAATTCTTTTTTTTTTATCCTCACCCGAGGACATTTTTCCATCTTTTGTACAGATAGAGAGGGAGGGAGAGAGAGGAACAGAGAGAGAGAGAGAAACATCGATGTGAAGGGACACATCGAGTGGCTGCCACCCGCACGACCAACCAGGGCCGGGGACAAACTGCAACCGAGGTACATGCCCTTAGCGGGAACCGAACCCGGGTCTCTCCAGACCGCAGGCCGACGCTCTAACCGCTGAGCCAAACCGGCCAGGGCAGATTCTTCTAATTCTTTATAAAGGTGCTTTTCAAAGACAGTAAGGAAATAATTTGATATTAATCTAATTGTATCAGTGTTGCAGGCGAGAATCTTACTTACCCATGTCCCTGTCCCGGAATTATGTTACAGGGAAAACCCGGCCCAGCTGATACATCTAAAATGTTTCAGCCAGAAGAGTAACATGATGTCCGTGTATTTCGCACCTGGCCGAGCACAGAGAAGTTAGCTGGGAGCTACTGTAGCACATGAGAAACACTGGACTGAACCAGATTGTGAAATTCTCAGGAGTAGAGAAAAATACTTTGAAACGTTTGTCAAAATTGTTTTACAAAAACAATAGAGAGAGAAGAGAATTCTAGAAATAACTGGGAAAGGACACATTACACTTAGAGCCCGGAGGCAGTACTTATGCCGTTACTGATGATTTAGGTTGGTTTTTATTTTCCGAGATAACTTTTTATTTAACCGTTCTGCGCGTCACAAGTCTTCAAAGGGTTTCTATACCTTTCAGTAGATCCCATTTTCTAAATACCTTTGATGCTGAATTTAAAACAGCTATTTTATCTTTCTGCTGACTCGAACATTTAATATCCCTCGATAAACCGTGTAAAACAAATGATAATTGCTTTTCTATGTCTCCTACTTGTGTTCAATCTTTTTCATCTTTCAACGGAACTCAGTGAGCTTTTTCCCTAATCAATTCTTGTTTTCCCTTCAGGGATCTCTGAGAGAAATATTTCTGTATGTCACTGTTCCCAGGTAACTCCTGGTGTGATCACAGGGAAAGGTTAGCAGAGAACCCAGGCCGGAAGCTCACAAGGCAGAGCTGGTCTCACTCAGCGTCGGCTCTCGCAGGGGGTTGTACTTTCGACAGGAGGTGGATTTTTCCTCCGTACCTACTCAAGTGTACCTTTCCCAAGTCCCCAGATTGGTTCCCAGGTGTCAGCCAAATGTGAAACTACTTTCACGCAGTGACCAAAGTTTTCTTTCCACGCGTCTTAGCTCAGAAAATAATGTATTGACAATATGTACAGCGATATGGCCCTTGACGGTTTAACACCGTAAACTGTCGGTTCTCAACGAGGAGAGTTTGTCTCCCAGGGAGGCATTTGTCAATGTTCTGGAAACATATCTGGTTGTCACCACTGAGGGTGCTACCGGGCAACACTCGGGACCGTGCCCCAACCAAGACGTACCCCCAAGTGTCGACAGCACCGAGGCTGCGAGGCCATGCTGTGAATAATCAGAGATGTTTTGGGTATCACATTTTTTTTATCCTCACCCGAGAACATTTTTTGTTCAGAGTGGGGGTGGGGGGGAGAGGGAGAGAGAGAGAGAAACATCGACGTGAAGGGACACATCGAGTGACTGCCATCTGCACGACCAACCAGGGCCGGGGACAAACTGCAACCGAGGTACATGCCCTTAGCGGGAACCGAACCCGGGTCTTTCTGGACCGCAGGCTGACGCTGCAACCACTGAGCCAAACCGGCCAGGGCTTGGGTATCACATTTTAAACGATAGGTCTCTCCTTTGGGGGTACACCTCCCATCAACGGCTTCTGAATGAAACTACTACAGCCCTCGAAGGGCCACCTAACACATGACGGCCCTCAGGTGACCACCTCCAACAGTGAGTGAGGAGTCCACGTGGGCTCGTGTGACCCCTCTCCTCCAGGCCCCACACCTCGGGTGATGTTGGGACACTGGAGCCGTCCACGCAGCGGAGGGCACAGAGTGGGGAGCCCACCCCCCGGTTCTGCTCTGTCCTGGAGGTGGCGGCAACGCTGCCAAGTGTGAGGAGCCTGCTGCTGGTCACAGGGCGTGGTCTCAGGGCGTGGTCACAGGGCGTGGTCACAGGGCGTGGCCAGGGGCGTGGTCACAGGGCGTGGTCGCAGGGCGTGGCCGCAGGGCGTGGTCACAGGACATGTCACAGCGAGTGCGAGAAAACACGTCAGAAGCACCCAGAGTTTGGACGAGTGCACAGGTCAGGGGTGCCCTTTGACACTTGACCCCCACTGTGCCTTTAAATTGCCTGATTTTTGTCACCAGAATATTTCAAAATAGGGTGACATTCAGTACTTCCCCTCCTTATTTTGTCTGTGTCCCTCGAGGCTCTTAGTGACGCAGAGCCCTGCCTGTTCCGACGTCACCTGTCCTACCTGGGGGGCTCCTCAGTCCGGCCATCTGCCCCCTGGCTCTGCTCCGCCACAGCCCGTGCACCAACCGGCCCTCTGTCTCCTTCTCCTCCTCACCACCTGTCACTGTCTTCCCGCTGAGGTCCGGGGGGTGGGGGTTGCATTAAGTGCAGACCTGGAGACGACCCGGGGGGGTGACACGGAGGGGAGCCCCGAGGGCACAGGGTTCCTGTTCTGGCGTCCACTCTCAACGGTGGTCAGCTCCCCGCCTCCAACGCGCACCGCTGTGAGCAGATGGAGGGCTGCTGGTCGGACGGGTCCACCCGCCGCTCCCTCACCTCTGCCCCGCAGCCCCGTGGCCCGGCCGCCCTTGGTCACCACACCACTGGCTCAGGTGTGAGCAGGTCCAGTATCGCCTGGCCGTCTGCCTTCCAAGGCAGTGACGTGGGAATCGAAGGTCGGCCCGCTCACCACCCTTCTCTCTAGAGAGGCTCTGGTTTTGAAGGATTTCTGTTGATGGCCTTTTAACGAGCAAAATCAGAGCTGGCCCCTGCGTTGGGCTGCACGCTCACCAGACGCTCAGAGATCGTTGGCTGAACTGCGCTGAATTTATGAGGTTAAATGGCAGCTCAGGCTGAGGGAAACCGTAAGAATCTCCCAGTTACTCCGACGGAGTGAGGGTGCGTTTCTGTTTTGTGGTTGACACTGTCTCATATTGCTTTTTTTTTTGGTACGTGCCCCCAGTGGGAACTGAACCCGGGACCCTCTGGTCCACAGGCCGACGCTCCAACCGCTGAGCCAAACCGGCCAGGGCGCCTATTACTTGTTAAAAGTATCTCACCCAGGAAATCAGGTCTACCATGAACACACACTCTAAGCAGACTAACCATCCGGACATAATGTCTGCTTATATTTTATGATGCACATTTGTCTTCTTAAACAGAAACATTTTTTAAGTTGGTATCTGTCCAAAAAAAAAAAATCAATAAAACCTCTGACTATAATGCTAATTTGTACAAACCCACAGTTCTGTTAGACGTCCAGAGTTTTCCCCTTTAAAGGCACATGGACACCCCTCCAGCCCCCCCCCCCCGTCCCCGGCGCAGCCCGAGGTCCCTTCCTCAGCCAGCGGCCCTCAGGGCCTCACCCTCCGATACCTTCCCTTCGAGTCAACACCTGGCGACGTGAACCTTCCCTTCGCGCTCACGGCTACGCTCTCGTGTGCAGGTGTGACTCAGACCCTAGGCGCATGTCCCCGTCAGGCTACTGGACGCCAGAGCCCAGGGAGCAGCAGCTCAGAGAGCCACTGGCGAAGTCCGCGAGTGACCTGCCCCCAGATTTCTGATGCTGACAGGTGTCAAGCACGAGGTGTTTCAAGCTGAAACTCCCGCATCCAGGCAGCAGGAAGGCCGGTCGCGACCCCACGGCCGTGTCCGCACCACAGCATCATGTCCACACTCTCCGTCCACCTGCTCCCCGAGCCACTCAGAGTCCCGCACAGAAGGAACCGCCGAGCGTTGGGCCCGTGTCCCCTTGTCACTGTGAAGTACGAAACACTGAGCAGAACCGGGGAGCGGCACCCAGAGAGGGGGGGCAGGGCTCAGGGGTCGTCGCTCCCCTGGGCGGAAATGCCGGGGACCGGCCGGGGCTGCCAGGAGTCACAGTCTGTGTAGAAAGTGCCTTCTTTCTGATGCATAAGCTCCTCATTCACCGCAATTACATTTCTGGGTCACGGCGCGAGCGGCCGCGGCCCCGCTAAGTGACGGCATCTTCCTCCGGTGTCGCTCCCATTAGCAGGCTTGTCCGCGGGGTGTTCGTCTCCAGCTCGGCCAGCTGCTCGGGGGACGAGTGTGTGAATTCAAACCTAATTATCTTGCTGAAACAGTAAATCAGATGTGTGACGTGCAACGGTCGCTCAGAGATGCCCAGGCCGGCGCTGTGCGGCAGCTGTGGGGGTGCTGGAAGGGTGGACCCCATTACAGGGGGGCGACCGTGGGGCATCTCCCCACCCCCCAGACTGGGAGCAGACCCCGCACTTTCCTCCGGAGCCCGGGCTTGGAGGAGACTCGGTCAGAGGGACTGTCTGCCGGCTCCTCGTGCGGGGCCCACCGTGCCCCCCGGCTGCCGATGCTGGTGCCCCTGGAGCCTGGTCTCCCCAGGCCCGTCCCTCTGCTCCTGGAACTGGAGAGCACTCTGGCCCCCTGGGCGGGCTGGCGTGCCCCTTGGCGAGACAGCCCCCAAGATCCCCAGAGCCGGGACTTCCCCTGGGCCGCAGAAGTCAGATGTGTAGAAAATAGAGACAAATGAAAAACCGATGAAGCCCCCAGATTTTTATTTTGACACAGTTCGGAACTAGCTCAGTTCCTTCCTCTTCACAGATAAGGAAACGGAGGCCCGAGATGTTCAGTAACTTGTCCAGCTTCCTAACGAGGGCTGGCGATCCAAGGACCACGGTCTCCCGATCTAGGAGCAGTGACGTTAAAGACGAATGAGGAGCCCCGGCCGGTCTGGCTCGGCGGTTGCGCGTCGGCCTGCGGACCAGAGAGTCCCGGGTTCGGATCCTGCCAGGGGCACGTACCACACAAAATAAATAAATAAATAAAATAAAATGCTTGCAGCTCACCAGCGTGCCTCCTGTGGCACACCGGTTGGAAATCATTGCCTTAGACACTTCTGGTCACAAGTAGACATTTATAAAAAATAAAAAAAAATTTTTTTAAATGAGGGGGGGCCCTGGCCCGTGTGGTGCAGCGGTTAGAGCACTGAGGGTCGGGGTCTGATTCCCCGTCAAGGGCCGGACCTGGGTGCAGGTCCGGTCTCCTGGGCGCATGTGGAAGGTGACCAGTGGCTGCGTCTCTCTCACATCGATGTCTGTCTCCCCCTCTCCCTTCTACCTAAACACCAATGGGACAAACACCCTTGGGTGAGGATCAGCAAAAACAAATAACTGACGAGGGGCCCCGGCCGGTGTGGCTCGGGGGGTTGGGCGTTGTCCCTGCCCCAAAATGTCAGTCACCTGTTCGATTCCCGTCGGGGCACCTGCGGGGTGCAGGCTCCTTCCCGGGGCGGGGGTGGGGGGATAACCCTGAAGCTTCAACGTTGCCTTGTCATCTGTGGCTTTGCTTCTGCGAACTCCCAGAAAACACCGAGCACGGTCCCAAACCCAGACCCTCCTCTTGTCCACGGGTCGTGTCCAGCGGCTCCTCTGGGCTGTTGCACAGTCACCACGCCACAGGGGTCCCGTCTGAGCTTCCCCCACGGACGCCCCGCAGGCAGCCCCTCGTTCTGGTGTCTCCCACGCGCGGGCCCCTGGCCAGTGTTGTCGCTGGTCGGGGCTGCGTGGCGCACACGCAGGACGAGGGAGCTCGTCTTTACTGCCTGTGTTGCTCCGTGAGATGGAAACAAACCCGAGTCCTGGAGACTCCGGCAGAACCGGGGATGACGCTGGGGAAAGTCTGGTCCGCGGGCCCCCGCCCCCCCCTGGCTGTGAGTCTGTGGATGTGGCGGCGGGGGGGGGGGGTCCCCGTCACTAACGGTCGGGTTTTCTGCGTCGTTCAGCAGGTTCTGCGGCCGAGAGTGTGTCGCTGACGCTGACAGGCTGTCTCTTAACTACACAGGTTCACACCCTACGAGTGGTACGACCCCCACCCCTGCAACCCCGACTCGGACACGGTGGAAAACAGTTTCACTTTGCTGAACAGTTTCTGGTTTGGGATCGGTGCGCTCATGCAGCAAGGTACCCGGCCGCCGCCCCCGCCCCGCACCCCACGGCCCGCTGGCGAACCCCGAGGGGCAGGGCGCTGGGCCGCGGGCTCCAGAAGCAGCAAAGACCGAGTGGCTAAGGGCCCGTCCGTGCCGTCTGTCTGACAGGACTGTCTGTCAGGCAGTGAATTCGGATTCTCCCCGAGGGGAGTCAGAGAGCCTGAGAAGTTGTTGACGAGTTTCATGGGTGGAGGTTGGGCAGGAGCAGGACGGGGGCCCTTGGAAGTTAAGCTGAGGGACCTGCTCCCTGAAACCACCCGCTGACCGCCTCCTGACAACCTCCTGGGACCCGTCTGAGCCCCCGGGGACGTCCCACCCTCTGGTAACCATAGCAACAGTAAGCGAAGGGGCTGGGGACCAGGACTCCCGCCGTAGAAATGCCCGATGCTCTGCCCATTGTGAGAATCTGGGGGCTGGATACTGCTGCGGAGGGAGGAGGGAGCTTGTTTTGGGGGGCCCTGGGCATCTCGTGAGGGAGCTGTTAGCGTTGAGACGTTTGGCCTCCGTCCTGCTGTGGAGACGCCGCGGAGGCCAGTGGGCACGTTCATCACAGTCAGGCAGACGCTGCAGACGCTGCGACAGGTGTGGCCCCGGCCCGGCCCCTGAGGTCGCCCGGTGGGGGTGCAGAGCCAGGAGCCCGCAGGGAGCCCGGCAGGGGCTGCTCCCCGAGGGCGCAGGTCCGTCCATCCGTCTTTTGTGCAGTTGCTTTCGAAGAGTGAAGGCCCCCTGCTGCCCTATCGCTTGTCCTCCTGACTGGGGACAGACGTGCGCAGACGGTTCCAGGGAGCGCGTGTCAGGTGTCCGCCCCCGAGACTCCTGCTCTGCCTGTCTGGACGTCACCACCATCCCCAGCAAACCGGGGGGTGCCAGACCTGGGGCACATGACCGTCAGCCCAACCAGACTCTGCTTGTTCTTCGAGAAGCTGAAAGCATCTGTCAGGGGCGCAGCACCACCCCGTGCAGAGGGCGGTCCCAGGGCCGTCCGTCCGTCCGTCCGTCCGTCTGTGCTCGCGTGCGTGCTGGGCCGGGTGGCTCCCTTCCGTGTGGACGGCTGCGCTCTCTCTCGTTAGCAGAAGCTTGTCACTGTCCCCAACTGGGAACCGTCTGCTGAATTCCCCTCTGGTGTGACGACCAGACGCCGCCTCCTGGGGGCGCGAGAGTCTGGGAGGCCTGGCGGCCCCTGTGCCTGAGAGACGGCGGCAGTGTCGCTCCTGGTCCCCAGGGCCTCCTGCGGATGCTTCTTCCACTTCCCCGTCCCCCTCACCCCATGCTCGCGAGCCCCGAGCTCACGCACATCGTGTCTGCAGGGAGGCCAGTATCCCGGTGAACCCCGAGACTCGCGCACCCCGAAAATGCCTGAACACGAAGACACGATGAAATGTCGAGAAGCACAGTGCCCACCGTCGACCAAGGGCGTGACGTGGCGTCCGAGTGGTTTTCTTTCTCCCGAAGTGTAAATACGTATTTTAGGGTGACCGGTGTGAATTTGTATTCTTTTCATCCCATGTCAGCGGTTGGTCATCCATTTGTCCGTCCAGCGTCACTGCTGTGTAATTACATAACTACCGGGTGATGAGCTCAAAACCTCGTTAGAAACACAGACGACAGCGTAAGGATAGTTCACAGCGGGAAATCCGCACCTTTACGCTCCGGAGATGTTTCCATCAGTTCTTCTGCTCCTTCCCCGTGGCTATTCTATGAAATAAATGGCATTTTACTGATAACCGGCTGCACATCTAACACCCCGTCACCTGCCACAAGGCTGCCGGGCGCAGAGACAAGGAACAGCCTTGAGCCGAACCCCCCCCCCCCCCCCCCGGGCACTTGAGTCCCATTAAAGCCACAAGGTTTAAACAACAGCAACCAGCTAACCCTCCGAACCCTCGGAGGCGATTTGGTGGAGACTGTTGTGCGTCTGTGCGATATCACACACCCAAACTCACACGGAACAGAACCACGGAAGGCGACGCCAGCCGTGGAGACGCGTACCCCTCACTGAGAAAGAATAAGCGGGAGGAGGAGACAGCGGCCCTGGACGCTCTGCCGGCTCCGACCTCACCAAGACCTGGTTCCAACTCCAGGAGCCACACCAGCTGCAGCCAAACTCGCTTATTTGTGGGCAGCTGAGCCCCAGTTCCCCTCTGTCTAAACCGTGAACTGCAAAACCTTGAGACACACGAGGACAGTGAACATTCTTCAGACCGGAGATGCCCCTGGGGTGCCCGCCCCTGTGGATCTTAAACCTTTAGGCGCTTTGACTGGTCACGTGAACTCTGGTCCCTCCCAGTCCACGGAGGAAACACTAAGCACGGGACCAGGGCGAGTTTTCGGCGAACGGATGAGCCGAAATCCACCCAGCCTTGAATTCTCCTGCTGGGTTGATGGGATTCCCGCAGCTCGGCCTGGACCACGTGTGGGCACCTGGGGTTTCCACGGATGCCTGACCGCTTTGTGAGTGAGCTCAGCCCACACCCGTCTCGGAGGGGGCGGTCCTGTGCCCCGGCGGGCCCTACGCTCTCGCACAAACAGTCAGCAGTCGTCTGATGACCCCGGAGTGTGTGTTTTCACCGGAAAGGGCCCCTGTCCCCTGAGAAACAGCCAGTCCTTGAAGTATAGTTAAAACATAGGGCTCGACCGGAGGGCAGAGTCACGCTTTCAGTGAACATAGTCTTCTCCGTCCAATGAGACTCTGCCCCAGAAAGACGTGATCTCCACTGAAAGAGGCAAATGGCCGACGTCAATCTTTTGAAAGGTCCTGACTGTCTTTCACCTTAAGTCGAACACGCTCGCGTTTCGAAGCTTTGCTAGTGGGGCAGAGACCTCGGACATTCTGTTCCACACGACACGCCGTGTGTTAGGCCTGGTCAGAGGCCAGACGTCCGGGGCTGACTTTCCAACCCACACGACTCAGTTAACCGTGAACGGAGACGCCGGTGACCTCAGGGCCCAGACCACGGGACGCAGCGGGTAGTGTCAGGGTCGACACCACTGAAATCTTGTCCCCGCTCCTAAAAAAAGTGCAGGATTTCATCTGCACACAGAGCGCGGGTCCTGGCCGATCAGTTTTCATGTCACAGAAATGCGTGTCCCCCCAGGCGCGTGGAGACCCCCCGTCTGCCAGCCTAACGCTCTTCCTTTGATGGCCCCGCCGCAGGGTCGGAGCTGATGCCCAAAGCTCTCTCGACCAGAATCGTCGGAGGGATATGGTGGTTTTTCACCCTCATCATCATCTCCTCCTACACGGCCAACCTGGCCGCCTTCCTCACGGTGGAGAGGATGGAATCCCCCATCGACTCGGCGGACGACCTGGCCAAGCAGACCAAGATCGAGTACGGGGCCGTCCGAGACGGGTCGACCATGACCTTCTTCAAGGTGAGAAATGACCGTGTATCTCCACGGTTCGCTCAGGCTGGGGCGAGGGGAATGCGGTGGAAGTGTCTCCCCAGAAAGGAGAGGTGCTGGGCAGTGTGGGGGAGAATAACAAGGGTGATGACCGGTGTCCCCAGCAGTGAGCCTAAGGCCACGTCTTGGGCCCCCACCCCAGTCGAGCCCACGCAGACCCCACACCAGCATTGTCAGGGCCTCTCCTGCCTTCGTCCCAGAGACAAACAAAACTGGGCTGTTTTCCGAGTACAGTCTAGCGGCCCGTGCATCCGTCCCTCGCACGGAACCCCCGAAACGAAGGCTCCTCCGTCGCAAAGCCCGGCACCGGAGTGCGTGACGTCACAGTTCTGTTCTGTTCCGCACTTGAGGACGGACCCCAGGGGCCAGTGAGTGTGCTGATGAGGGGGTGTCCTTGGAGGGTTAAAACCAAAAGGATCCCTGGAGACTGCTCTGGCTGTGTCGGGGCCCGGACAGGGCGCCCCACGAGGCGGAGGCTCCCCAGGGGCCCGAGCGCCCTCGGCGGTCCCGGTGTGGTCGCCGGTGAGACACGTCCCTGCAGTGACACAGGTTCCTGCCTGCTGTGGAATAAGCCTCGGTGCCCCCGTGAGCACATCTCAGGCCCGTAGCTCCTGGGAGGTGATTTAACGGCCTGGGGCACCTGGGAGGTCGCAGCTCAGCCTCACTTCCCCACGAAGGGAACAAGCCCGGCTCTGTGCAGAGTCACCGCTGGGTCCGGGACAGATGGGCCAGAGCCTCCTCGTCAGAGGTGACCGTGGGGGGCGGGGGAGGCAGCAAGTGTGACCGAAATGAACTGTGAGTCCACCTTAGTCCAGGCTTCACACCCGAAAGTGAAGTTGTCTCCCCAGGACTGAGCAGAAAAGGCTTTTGAAGAATATGGATTCAGGCACACAAGCTGAGGGTGAGAAACAGAGAACATTCTGTTTGCAGAACAGCGTTGGTTCCCCACACGGATGCCACTTTGCAAAATTACTAATAAAAACGCACTTTATTTTAGGAGTGAGCTTCACCCAGAGGTTTATCGGGAAGCAGAGTAATGTGAAAAGTTAGGATTTGTGTTTTGTCTAAGTGAACAAGATCTCTAAACATTTTTTTTTTTTAAGAAATACGTCATGGCCGGTGTGGCTCAGCGGTTAGAGCATCGGTCTGTGGACCAGAGAGTCCCGGGTCCGATTCCCAGTCCAGGGCATGTCCCTGGGTCGCAGGTTTGATCCCCGGCCCCAGTGGGGTCATGCAGGAGGCAACCAATTGATGTCTCTCTCACATCGACGTCTCTCTCTCTCTCTCCTTCCACTCTCTCTAAAAATTAATGGACAAATATCCTCGGGCGAGGATTTAAAAAAAAAGAACAAGTCTAAGGCCAGTGTCACTCAGTGAATGATGCTTATTAGCCAGGCACCTGCTCAAGGTCGCCAGCGTCTGAGACGCACAGTCCTCAGCGTGTGGTCGGTCTAGCACCTGCCGCGGAAGGTCAGTCCCCTGGCCGGTCGGCAGGGAGGACGAGGCTAAAGAGAGACGGAGCGTCGTGACGCCGGTGCAGGCAACTGCTCAGGAAGGTCTCTGGCCCGTCGTCGCTCCTCGTCACACGTTAATTATCATGGGCTCTTTCATAAGTCGGCGCATTAGTAACACAGGACTCCTAGAGACATTGTTGAAGGGACATCTTCAACAGACTTTCTTGTCTTTCTCCTCGGGGTCGTGCTAACGATGACACGATGTGAAGGACATCGGTTTCCCAGCCTGCTGGCGGGGTCGTCCCCGTGGCTCCCAAAGCCGGGCCCGCGAGGCCCTGTCCTCCCGCACCCTGACTGAGAAAGTGCCCAGAGCAGTCAGTTCGTGGCCCACATGACCCGTCTCCTCCCCCTGACCCCCCAGACCGCGGCTGCCACGTCCAACCGCAAGTCCTCCTTGGGCAACAGAGCATCACAGTAACGTCTTCCGCATCTGCCGTAGGAAGCAGGAAGCACAAGGATTAGATTCTGTCTCCTTGTAATTCTGTCCTGTTTTTTTATCCTCACCCGAGGACATTTTTCCATTTTTTGTTCAGATAGAGTGGGAGGGAGAGAGAGGAACATCGATGTGAAAGGGACACATCGAGTGGCTGCCACCTGCACAACCAACCAGGGCCGGGGACAAACTGCAACCGAGGTACGTGCCCTTAGCGGGAACCGAACCCGGGTCTCTCCGGACCGCAGGCCGACGCTCTAACCACTGAGCAACACCGGCCAGGGCTACAGCTGCCTTCTTGGTGGTCTTCCTTCAAAGAGGTGTTTGTATATTAAAGCTCAGTTCAAAGCACGTTAAGAAATTAGTATTTGGTGAAATATCATATCTGATCGTGCGCGGAGGAAACGGTTGTTTGCAGCCACCACGCGCGTCGGCTGTGGTGTCTCCCAAGTCTGGGTTTGTCCACGGCTGACTTCCGTGTCTTGGCTTGAGTTTCAAGGTTTTCTTAAATCAGGATCTACTTAAAGTATATTGGAGACTTTAAAATGTCATTGTTCTTGGTTATTTCATCTGTTCTATATGGATATATTTACCACTTTATAAAATCACTTTTGATAAGATAACAGAGATTATAATGATTTCCCCAGCGTGTCTGGCGTCAGGGAGACACGCACGGACAAATGCACTCGAACATGGTCCGCAGGTGAAATCTCCAGACATGCTGGTGGGAAGCAGAGCAGGTCAGGTACTCATTCTGTGAACGGTGGGAGGATACGTCTTCCGTGTAGAAGCCTCACGACCTGGTTGAAGAAACAATGCGATAGGTCGTTTGCCTGAGTAAAGGTGACATGTTAGAGGGGTGTACTCATGAAACGTAGGTTCTCCGGGCTCAGGACCGTATCACGCTCCTGAACTTGCACCGCGCACCTGGCTGAAGCTGCGTGTGGAGCACAGGTCACTGCGAAGTGGGGGACAGAACAGGGTCCACGTGTCCTGGTTTCGACAGCTGCACCCTGAAACACGGCCCAGGCTTCAGCCCAAGGACACGGAGCTGCCCAGAGGCTGCCCAGAGGCCCCGGGCATCACGTAGCGACGGGTTGTGACCAACGAGGCCACAGCGGCTCCCGGCGATGTTGTCTGCAGGGACCGTGCCCACCTGCTGCCGCACGGACGGGCCCGAGGCTGCTGTTCCGAGTGTCACGCACACGGCCGACCCCCGGGACCTCGTCCTGGTGCGTCATATTCCCATGTCGTATGTCTCCTGGTCTGTGAAAAGGAAACAATGATCGTATCTTTCTCCTGTGATCAATATCGGTAATTGGTGAAGTGAATTAATGGTTGCGACATGTTCGGAATAGTGCTGAGCACACAGGAACCTGGGCACGGGCTGGTCATCATCGCGTGTCTCCGTTCACAGCTGTAGCCGCGCACGGACACGGCGAGGCCCCGCCTGGGAAACAGAAGTCAGCGTGGCCGTCGACCAGGCTCCTCGTCACAGGTCGGAGATTCCGCAGCCTCAGAATCACACACAATCAGGTCTAAACAGACGAGATGAGTTTATCTCAACCTGACCCCTCCAGGATTAAACAAAGCTGGATGCTTCCGGATTTAATAAATGAGACTTTTTCGGCTTTACTGACTTTCGCTAAGAAGCTCGGAGCACTTCAGAAATATTCTAATTAACCTTCGACACCGTCCCCGAAGTGACAGGCCACCACTGTGTCTGATCTTCAAACGTGTCGTTTGAAGCGATTCAGCAGAACCCCAGAGGATCAGATAAAACACCCAGACTCTGCCTGAGTCTGATCGGTCTTCTCGTACTTGGATCATTTCCCGCGAAGGATGCTCCTGTTTTTAAGAATCCCTAACACTTGAGCCTCAACTACAGAAACTCTGTCCAAGAAGAAATGGATCTAATTTAACTGCCCCCAAAATAGTACTTTCCGACCTAACATCACCGAACATGGTGGGAGGCAGAGAGACCCCGATTCTGCCTTGACGGTCACTGACGTGTGACCTCTGTGCGTCCCTGAGCAGGCCCTGGGTCGGGGCTGTTCCGGGGGGACCTGCTGGCAAAGGGCCTGTGGGAACCTCTCCCGACCGTGGAGCTTTTGTAGGTTTTCAGTGACAGAAAACTGGCCACGTCCTGCGGGGGCCGGGCCACCTGCCGACGGCCCTGACGGTCCGGGAGGCCCCCCGCTCCGTGCCGCGTCTTCCTGGGGATCCAAGCTCCCCGGCTTCTCACGTGTCTGTGGTCCTAAGTGCGGGAGCCGGGGAGCCCACGGAGCACCTTGTGGAGGACGGACAAGGCCGTACGTGAAGGCGGAAGGAGCTGTTCCCCGCCCCGGGGGGTCTGCTGACCAGCCCTGAGGAAGGACCACAGGAGACCAGAGGAGTTGGGAGGCTCCTGTACCTTCCACTCGACCGGCCCTCCCCGACGTGGCAGCCTCCTTACCGAGAAAAGGTTCTGCTGTCGCTGCTAAAAATCTGTGCCGGTAGCTGTCTCCTCCGGGGCCTGCAGGAGATCCCACGGTGAACGCGGGTGAAGTGAACCTGCCCTCCAGCTCCAGAGGACAGCGCTGCCCAGGCTGGGGGTCAGCACCAACACGAGGGCAAACGTGCAGGAGCAGGTCCGCGGCTCCGTGGCTCTGTGATTCCTTGGCTCCGTGGCTCTGCGATTCTGTGGCCTTGGGTGCTGGGGCACCGTGTGCGTGATCACAGTGATGTCCTGCACGTGGATGTCCCCGAGTGCCGTCCAGGCTCACACGGCCACGCCTGCCTGGGCCGCATGCTGGACACAGGCCGCAGCACCGCAGGCTGAGAACGCAGATGGTCCCTCAGAGCAGGTGGTGTGAGAACCACGCCTGTCGGCCGAGGAGCGGACGGCAGGTTCCAGGTGGGCCCTTCCCTGCTGGGGGCCGGGAGGGACTTCCTATGTGTTGTCTGTTTCCCAGGAACAAACCTGCACTTCCTGTGGTTTGTCCTCAGCTTCCAGAGACCAAAACTCCAATTTTCTGAATATTTACAGCATTCATTTTTAAAATATTTTTTTATTGACTTTCGAGAGAGAAGAAGGGAGGGGGAGAGAGAGAAACACCGATGAGAGAACATCGACTGGCCGCCTCCTGCAGGCCCCCCACTGGGGATGGGCCCACAGCCTGGGCCTGTGTCCCGACCGGGAATCAATTCGATGACCTCTTGGTGCAGGGTCGACGCTCAGCCACTGAGCCACACCGGCCGGGCATGTTCACTTTTTTAGTGAAATTTAATATGGTGAAAAGATAGACATTTCATGGAATTTTTATGTGGTGGCTGACTCCTAGTCTGTACGCACACGGATGAGTCCGTGGGCCACGGGAGAGCAGAGAGGGTTAAGATCATGCTCTGAACATGGTGCATGAGACTCACTGTGGACCCCCTGCAGAGCTAGTGGTTCGAATGAGCCATGTCTAGCGTCTTGGACAACTTCCAAGTCCGTACTTCTTAGAAAACAACACTCCCTGAAGGCCGTTTCCTGGTGGAGAAATGCCTCCCAGCTGTGCAGAAAGACAGACGGTCGCCCTGCACGTGGACGGTCGCCCTGCACGTGGACAGACCACCTGCATGTGGATGGACACCCTGCACGTGGACAGACCGCCCTGCACGTGGACGGTGGCCCTGCACGTGGACGGGCAGCCCTTTACCGTGACTTCAGCAGCATCAGGTGTTCACGGCGGACACCACACAGCAAATGAAACGTTGACCCCGACCCCAAACCCGCTCTGTCCTGGAGACACAAGGTCCAGTTTTCAGGTGTCTCCGGGGTCCAGGCCTCACGGGGGCCTCATCGGAGATGCTGGCTTCTGTCCAGCTCCAGTGTCGACAAGGGACTGTTCATCCCGCCGTCTGTCCACAGGCCTTTCTCGGGCTCCGCCTGCCCGACAACCCGCGTGAAGCCCCGGCACCGACCTCGGCCTCCAGGGCAGGTGGGAGCTGAACGAGCCGCAGGGACCGCAGAGCACGGAACAGCTCGCCGGGGCTGGTCCCACGCTCTTCCCTCCGCTCGGGCCCCGGGTCACGCTTCAGGTCATCGGCCTCCTGAGGGCGTCGCCCTGGGCGGCGGCACCTGTGCGAGCACCTTGGCCCGGAGTCGTCAGTGGTTCCCGCGACCCCACCAGGCCGGCAGCGGGGGGCGTCGGTGCCGAGAGCGGCAACTTCAGAGAAGAAACGGGAACAACGTGGAAATGACAGAGGAAAATGTAAAACGTCTGATCATAGATCACTCTTCAGAAGAACAGGAATTTCATATCCAAGCCAAGTGGACACGTAGGCAGCACATTCCACAGATGAAGAAGATAACGAGATGGTGCTGCACCCGCGCATGTGCGCGCGATAGGCCGCCTGCGTGGCTCGTTGTCAGATCTTCCCCAGCAAATGAGGAACAAGGGAAGAGACAAGAGCAGACAACACTTTGAAATAAAATCCTCATCTCCATTGTCTGAAATCTGATCACAATTAAAAATCGAAAATACGGGTACAAGGCACAGAAACACACTTGGAAGAGTTTTCTGATCCGAACTCTAGTTTGAGGGGAGATCTGTGTCCCGGGTTTTCTGCCAAGAGCAGGTGCCTGTGGTTTTCTGCCGGCTGCTCCCGGCACCGCCCGTGGGCCCGGAGACACGGCCACGCCAGGAGCAGCGTGGACGCTGTGAGACGCAGGTCGAAGGGCAGGGCGGACGAGCCCAGTCCGGGAGGGGCGGGGCCTGGGACGCCCTCTGAGGGCCGCAGCTCACCAGTTGGTGCTTCGACAGGCACCCAGGTCTTGCTTTCCTGACTGGAGTCAGCGCGAGGACTCGGGCACACGTCCCACCACCAGGGGGGCCTCCTCCTCCCAGCCCCGGCCTGGGCGCCGTCCAGCGTCTTCCCGCGGGGAACCCTGTTCCCCTCCGCTCCCCACCCGCAGCCCACGGTCCTGGTCTCCCCGCTGCCCTGTGTGGACGCGTGTGCCCAGCCCTGCTCTGTCTCCCTGCAGAAGTCCAAGATCTCCACCTACGAGAAGATGTGGGCCTTCATGAGCGGCCGGCAGCAGACGGCCCTGGTGCGGAGCAGCGCCGAGGGCATCCGGCGCGTGCTCAGCGCGGACTTCGCGCTGCTCATGGAGTCCACCAGCATCGAGTACGTGACGCAGCGGGACTGCAACCTCACGCAGATCGGGGGCCTCCTGGACTCCAAAGGCTACGGCGTGGGGACGCCCATAGGTAAGGGCCAGGGCGGGGGCCGCGGGGCGGCACCGGGAAGCGGGGGGCACGGCTCGGGGACGTCGCCCCCACGTTCCCGGGTCTTCAAGGCCCGAGGGGGCTGGTGACCAGGGAAACACCCGAGTAGATCGGAGGCGTGTTCGAACTGATAATTCCGATATTTGACCTAAAAAATTCATTTACTACTTCCTTCAGGTTCTACCACTGAGTTTCTGTTTGCGTCTACAGATTTTATCATTTTACCCCAACTTTCTTAGCGAATAGCTTCTGGTCAACTTGCTTGGCATTATTCCCTCCTATACGTGCCTAGATCCTCTTCTGCCTAAAAGTATATTAACGTTTATAGCACAATGAATTATGCGAATAGATGATAAGAGTTGAAGGGCTGGGTTCCATGTCAGCAGATGTAGAACGAAGACGTGTCTATAGAAGGACTGAGATTCGACAGCCCACGGCTCAGGCAACGTGCCGGATTCCATCGGGGATCACGATCGGAACCTTCCAGCTGCTCCTCGAGTCCGTCCTGGGGGCCTCGGACCACGGGGAGGTCTCCGGCACTGCTGCCCGTCCACCTGTGTTCTGTGTCCCAGGGTGAACCGCCGACCCTGCTCCACAGACACCCGCACAGTGTGAGGCTCAGCGGGGTGGCCGGCGGCTCCTCAGGGAGTCCCTGGTCGCCTGTGGTCAGCATTCCCAAGGGGAGGGCCGGAGCCATCGTGGCTTCTGGGCTGGTCCAGGCAGCAGAGACCTTAGTACAGTCCAGTCAGGTCGTTAAGGACCTGCGGTAGATTCCGTCTCTTTGTATTACTGTTATTATTATTTATGTTGTTTGAGGGAAGTATTCCGTTCAACCCTCAGAATCAGAAGGGACCACACCTCAAATGCCTGCGGAGTCCAGAAAGATGTCACTGAAGGAGCCGATTGTTTGGGGAGGCGATAGGGCCTAGTGGCGACTGTGGAAAAGTAGAGACTGCATGACTCTCCGAGGGACTGCTGTCCGTGTGGGAATCGGAACACAAGTCCGTTAGATAGTCCGCTCTTCGTGGAAAACAAACCAAAAAAATCAGATTTTAGGTGGACCGTCCTGATATTTTCATTTAGCCTCAGCACTAATCTAATCAGCCGATACAGGCCCCTCTCCTCACCTTCCACATGGATACACGCCCAGTCTGACTCCCTGCCTCCTGTCTGGGGCTAGAATTAACTTTATTATCGTTGCTGTTATCTTGTCCATCTTCTAAAAGTCTTCTGCCAAAGCCAAGGAAACTGTAACTGTTTTCCTCTGGCTCCTTCCCAGGAGCTTTTCCTGACGACAGCAGCGGTGTTGCTGGTGAGGAGTCTCCCCGGGGGCTGGGCTCTGGGCAGGGGCAGCAGCTGTCGGACACCAAGTCAGAGGACACGCTGCTCCTTTCTGTCCGAGAGCCATGTGCCTTTCCCCGACCAGCTCTGCCACCTCACTGTAGATGACGGGTGGGGGCCGTTCCATGGGCATGAGGCGGACAGACACCGGAAGGGTGTCTCGGCCTGAACCTTCCCGAACAAGGCCTCGGCGTGGACTGTGACGCACTCTGCCCATCCCCAGAACTGTCTGTGGACCAGGAGGTCGAAGGCTCCATCCCGGCACTTTTGTCCGTCTCCCCCATGACCCCACCTTGAACCTGTCTGCACCCCTCGTCCCCACCAAATCCCCCGGTAGCGATGAGAGAAAATGACCACGTGTATCGCTCCCCGTGAGAATCTCTGCCCGTCGCAGGAGACCGTCGGAGGTGTTTCTTCTCTCGGATGGAACGTGACTCTGAGCTGGCGTTTCTGGGTGGGACCCCGGAGCTCCCTCGGCACCCGCCCCGACCTGAGGCAGCCCCTTGAACACGACCGTCCTGGGAGTAGGCTGAGCCTCCAAAGGGAATCCGTGCGTCTTCACACCGCGTGGCCGAGCGCCGAGAACGTCGTCCAGTCTGCTCCGGCCGGCCTGGTCCTCCGACACACAGGTTCCCAAGCTGGACAAGAAGAGAGACGCTCCAGGGATTTCTCTCAGTGGTCGGCCCTTCACCCCGGAAACCGTGAAGGAATAACGGGGGCCCGCGGCGGACCCAGAGGAAGGAATCCCTCCATGGGATGGCGGCTGGACAGATCTGAGAGATTTCCTCCCCGATGACCTGCCCGTTTAAGAAAGTCCGGTTGCCGTCTGGGCCGATCTGTGTGCTGGTCCCACAGGGACTGGTAATAAACCGCGTCCAGCGTCACTCGGCCCATTTACGCAACAACAGGAGTGGAAGTTGAGCCCTGGCCGGCTTGGCTCAGCGGTTAGAGCGCCGGCCGCGGACCAAGGGGCTGCAGGTTGGACGCCCGGTCAAGGGCACGTACCTGGGTTGCTGTTCCTCCCCGGCCCTGGTTGGGATTGTGTGAGAGGCAACCGGTCGATGTGTCTCTCGCGTCCATGCCCTCCCTTCCAGTCTCTAAAATATATATCAGTGGAAAGAGGTCCTGGGGTGAGGATTAACAACAACAACAAGCTGAAATGTATTTAGATCTAAAAAGCTCTCCGCCGACTCTGGCCCAGACTCCCGGATCGTGGGAGGTCAGCTGAGGCGGCCCCGTCGAGGCGCAGAGTTGGAGACTTTGCTTCTCGTAGACGCAGGACAGACGCTCTGGAAAGGGGCCTCCGGGATTTGGATCGAAACTTCGGGCGAGCGAGAGCCGTTCAGGCGGAAGCAGGTCACCAGGAGATCGGGGATCCCTTCCTTAGAGGCAACTTGAAACGGGGGCCGGGCCCCCCTGTGTGCACGGTTTGGGGTGTCCTGCAGCCTGAGCCAGAGGAGGGTTCATGGGCGTTTCCTGGGCACCCCTCATACCACTGGGAGCGCTGGGGTGGTCGCCGGGGTGGGGGTTGGGGGGTCCCTCCCACTCTGCCAAGCCCCGTCCTGGAAACCACTGGCTCCCCTGCCCTGGGGATGTTAATGGTGCGGATTTTGACACTGACGGTTATTCTGGGGACATTAAGCAACAGTGGATAGCGTCGTCGTCGTCTTCTTCTTCTTCTTCTTCTTCTTCTTCTTCTTTAATTCTCACTCGAGGATATTTTTCCATTTTTATTTTCAGATAAAGTGTGAGGGGGGAGAGAGAGAGAAAAGCATTGATGTGAGGGAGAAACACCGACTGGTTGCCTCCTGCACGACCCCGACAAGGGCCGGGGACCAGGCTGCAGGCGAGGTTCATGCCCTTGACAAGAATCAAACCCACGACTCTTTGGTCTGCAGGTTGATGCTCTAAATGCTGAGCCAAACCAGCCAGGGCGACAGTGAATGTCTTTTAATGTGGTTTTCAAAAGGCATTTTCTACCCAAAACTCCATACTCGTCACTGACAGGCCACAATCCAATTCCAAACATTTTGCTCCTCTTTTTTCTGATATGTTTTTATTGATTGTTTAGAGAGAGAAGGGAGAGAGAGAGAGAAACATCCATTGACCGCCTCCTGCCCGCCCCCCGCTGGGGATCCAGCCTGCAGCCCGGGCTGCGCCCTGACGGGGATCGAACCCGCACCTCTCAGTCGCTGGGACGATGCTCAGGCCACTGAGCCACACGGCCGAGCTTGCTTCCTTGGGAAAGTGGTTCTGAGGACTGACGACGACTCCAGAAAGTCTTGGATAAGAAGAAAAACAAAAATCAATAAAAAGGGCCAAAGGTTCAGCCTCCGGGTCCCAACTTCAACACGACAAGAACATAGATCTGAGGTGGGGGAGCACACGGCAGGGACACGGGTCTGGGGGAGCTCACGGCAGGGACACGGGTCTGGGGGTGAGCACACGGCAGGACACGAGTCTGGGGGGAGCACACGGCAGGGACACGGGTCTGGGGGGAGCACACGGCAGGACACGGGTCTGGGGGGAGCACACGGCAGGGACACGGGTCAGGGGGCGAGCACACGGCAGGACACGGGTCTGGGGGGAGCACACGGCAGGGACACGGGTCCGGGGGGAGCACACGGCAGGACACGGGTCTGGGGGGAGCACACGGCAGGACACGGGTCAGGGGGGAGCACACGGCAGGACACGGGTCTGGGGGGAGCACACGGCAGGGACACGGGTCAGGGGGGAGCACACGGCAGGACACGGGTCTGGGGGGAGCACACGGCAGGACACGGGTCTGGGGAGCACACGGCAGGACACGGGTCTGGGGGGAGCACACGGCAGGGACACGGGTCTGGGGGAGCTCACGGCAGGACATGGGTCTGGGGGGAGCACACGGCAGGGACACGGGTCTTGGGGAGCTCACGGCAGGACATAGGTCTGGGGGGAGCACACGGCAGGGACACGGATCTGGGGAGCACAGGACTCTGGAAGAAGCATCGGGAGAACCGAGTTCGTTCTGGGCTGTGCCGGGGACTGTGACTCACTGAACTTCATTCTGAGACGAGCGGACGAGTCCTCCGGGTTCTGGTGCTGGTCACGTGTTTGCGTGTTTCTGCTTCTCCCCAAAAGAACTTTAAAATTTGCAACCGAAAGAGTGACTTTCCTACTTAGTAGAAGAAAAATTCACAACCGAGGAGAAATTGGGTGAATGAATTTTACCGTCTTTTTCTCTCGTCCTTTGAATGGACGTCGGAGTCCGGTGTCCGGGGAGCCTGGCTGCAGGTGAAGCCTGTGCCCCCCGACGCGACCCAAGGTCCACCACGTACCTGGAGATCAAGTACAAATAATATCAACCAAGTCCTTGCAAATTCCCCAAACAACTCAGTTCTGCAGGACCTTTGCAGTGATCGAAACCTGCGTGGAGCAGCACAGGGAGAGTCTCAGGCAGCACGGACGAGTGACTAAACCTCCGCAATTTCTCAGTGGCTTCCGCAGCGAATGCTTATTTCTTGACCTTGTCATGGTCCCACGTGGATTAAAGAGAGACCTTTCTTCAAGCGTCCATCCTGGGACCCCCGCCCCTCGGAGGGGTGGCCCCCCGTCCCTGGGGACGTGAACCCCTCATGTTCCTGCTCCGTATTTGGGGAAGGGAGGTGGAGGGCCAGGTGGAAAGGACTGTGAGCCGGGACTGGGCATCATCACCCGTCACTTTAGCCCCCAGTGTCTAGAAGTGGGTCCCCGAGCACCTGGCTGAGACGGGCTGGGGAGCGTCCGGCCCGGGAGGAACAGGAGGGGCCGGGGGTGACCTGGCCAGGCCGGCACAGGGCTCGCCAACCGAGTGGAGGGGCAGAGTCTAACGATGGATTCTCCTCAGGAGCAGAGCTTGTCCCCGGTCCCCGCGCAGCTGCTCCTGGTTTAAAGGGAGCAGGTCAGCCTCCCGTCACTTAGACCCTTCAAAGGGCTACGGGCTTGAGCTTCCTGCCCTGGGCCGGTCGGGAGTGGGTGGGGTCCCCGCACCATGGAGCTGGTGCCTCTGAGCCCGTCCCCCTGGCTCCCCCCTCCCCCCGCAGGTCCCCACCCCTCCCCCTCCCCCCTGCAGGCTCCCCACCCCTCACGCCCTCCCCCCCGCAGGTCCCCACCCCTCACGCCCTCCCCCCTGCAGGCTCCCCACCCCTCACGCCCTCCCCCCCGCAGGTCCCCACCCCTCCCCCTCCCCCCTGCAGGCTCCCCACCCCTCACGCCCTCCCCCCCGCAGGTCCCCACCCCTCACGCCCTCCCCCCTGCAGGCTCCCCACCCCTCACGCCCTCCCCCCCGCAGGTCCCCACCCCTCCCCCTCCCCCCCGCAGGTCCCCACCCCTCACGCCCTCCCCCCTGCAGGCTCCCCACCCCTCCCCCCTCCCCCCTGCAGGCTCCCCACCCCTCCCCTCCCCCCTGCAGGCTCCCCACCCCTCCCCCTCCCCCCTGCAGGTCCCCCACCCCTCCCCTCCCCCTGCAGGTCCCACCCCTCACGCCCTCCCCCCCAGCTCCCCACCCCTCCCCCCTCCCCCTGCAGGTCCCCACCCCTCACGCCCTCCCCCTGCAGGCTCCCCGTACCGGGACAAGGTCACCATCGCCATCCTGCAGCTGCAGGAGGAGGGGAAGCTGCACCTGCTGAAGGAGAAGTGGTGGCGGGGCAGCGGGTGCCCCGAGGACGAGGGCAGGGAGGCCAGCGCCCTGGGCGTGGAGAACATCGGCGGCATCTTCATCGTCCTGGCCGCCGGCCTGGTGCTGTCGGTGTTTGTGGCCATCGGGGAATTTATGTACAAGTCCCGGAGGAGCAGCGACATGGAGCAGGTGAGTCCCTCGAGGGCGGGCGGTTTTCGGCCCCTGCGATCTGTCTCGGGTTTGGGGCTGTGCAAGGTGCCGCCCCTGTCGTACCGTCTGTTGAGTTAGATGCTCAGAAAAGCCATCGCTGAGTTAGAGCGAAGGCTCCGGGATGCTGTGTGGGTGCTGCTCACTCAGCCCCGCGAGTCATTCCTGAGGGGACAGAGCCGCCCCTCGGGCGGGTCCAGCTGGGCCACTCGGACCACAGGGCGGACGCGGCTCATCCGCTGCACAGGCGTCTGCCCCTCAGGTGGGAGCCCCACACGGCGCGGAGGTGCTCACTCCAGCGTCGGAGAAGCGACAGAAAGGTCTCGGGGGGCGGGGGGGACAGAGCCGTCCCTGAAGCATAGATAGATTTGTGCACTGAAGCAAAATGCACACAGACGTCAATAGAGCATTTCAAACTGCGCTTGGATCTCGATCGAGCTGTGATTGTGAGAGATGATTCACTTTCTTTTTTTCTTTTGGCGAGGAAATACAATAAACAGCCCAAAACGACGATAAAATACATTAGAAACCATTTTTCCAAATTGCGTTTAGGGTTACGGGTGATTGTGACCGTTGACCACCTTGTCATGATCGTCATTGTCGACGGAGCTCACCCTGGGAGCTCACCCCTCCGAGTAGGGGATCGTGATCACACAAAATTCCTTCATAAATTTACTGGAATAAACAGACCGGCCGCGGCAGCCGATCAGGCCACCCACCGAGTGGAAGGATCTCGTCAGAATCTGAGATACGAGCTGTTAATTTCAGGGCTCGTTAAAGGCTTGGGGTCACTGGGCTCTGGGAACGAGGTGGCCAGTCCGGGTCCCTGAACTCACTTCCTTTCCGGGGAGGCCCCCCTAAGCCCCCAAAGCCGGGATGATTGAGGGTGACCTGGCGTCTTCATGAAAACGTCCCCCAAATCCCGAGGCGGTCATGAGACTGTGAAGCACCCCGTGCTAGGCCTCGGGGAGAAGCTCTAACTGAAGGGGGAAGGGACGGACGGGCTGTGTCCGAACGCTCGTCTCGTCTTGTGTGTTTGTGCTTTGCTGGGCTTCCCGCGTCGCCTGCTTGGTTTGACGTGAACTTTCATTGGGGCGCTCGCTGTTGCTCCTGGTTGACTCACTGTTCTGTCTTTTCTCTCATTTCTTTTGCATGCAAGACTTTCTGTCTGTCTTACGGACTGCAGTGTAAGCAGACCCCTCCGACCAAGTCCACCTCGGGGACCACTTTATCCACGGATGTAGAGTGTGGCAAATTAACCCGCGAGGAGAGAGGGATGCGCACACAGTCCTCGGTCCACACTGTGTGATCGGTTTTTCAGAAGGTGTCCCCCTAGACAGGGTCTGTCCTAGCTGGCGTGGCCCCTGCGCTCGGTACCCTCAGCCTGAATCACCGCGACTCCCCTCCCTTTGAGACGGCAGCACCCGGTCCTCGGGGCGTCCGCGGGAAACAGAGGGGTGCGCGAGCTGAAGCAGGGGTGCGGGGGGGGCGCCGGACCCCAGATCTGTGTGTCCGTAGGAATGTGCGGCACCCTGCACATCAGCTCTGTCTTCATGCACTAAAAATAAGCAGCTGTTTCCCTGGGAAAACGTAGACTCAGACTTTCAACGGTGCAAAAAACTGAAAACAAAATGCTGTTTCCGTGGACTGTTTTTCATCTTGGTGAAACTTTCTTGTCTCGTTTCCTCTTCCTGTCCCACCTGCTGGTTCCCACACGCTCAAACCTCCTGACGCCCCCTCTTTTCATTCTGACTCCCTAACAACGCTCATTTCTCGTTCAAATCCACGTCACTGGGTCGCGTGTTCTTGAGACACAGACTCACAGATGCTGTAGGTTCAAAAGATTCAAAACAGTGACCCCGAGGACGGACGGGAAACGCTGTGTTTCGGCCGAGCCGGAGCGGAGCCGACGCTCACACCGGGCTCTCTGGGCAGAAACCCATGAGCATCAGCCTTCCCGGCGCCACCGGCTTGCGGGGCGGAGCGATGGTGCCAGGCTCTGCGGGGAGCTGTGGTTCCGTCAGGCTCTGTACTGTTTCTCGCTCTCAGCACCGGGCGAGGTGGGGAGGAGCACAGAGCCTCCCGGACCCCCACGCGCCTTGTGCACTGACGAGCGTCTTCTGGGAGACGGTACCGTGCTCACTCCCGCTCTCCGGGGATGAGACGCGAGCTTATCTGAGCTGGGCCGAGTTCACACTCATGTCCCGGGCGCTGGGCCGTGGTCCAGGTGTTCGCCCGGGGACAGGGAGAAGCAGGAGGGGATCCCGCCACAGCAGGGCAGGGCTCGGAGGGCTGACTCCCACCTGCGCTCAGTGTGCTCGGCTCCCACTCGGACCAGCCCGGTGCCCAGCAGGCCGGCTGCGTATTTAATCCAAGGGACTGAGGACACTGCCCTCCCTCTGGGCTGGCTTCCTCTTCTCAGCGAGCGGGGGGTGGAAGATGCCTGTCCTTCCCCCAAACTGGGGTCGTCGTTCTCCTGGTGGGATTACTTTTCCACACAGGCAGCGTCCGCGGAAACACACTTCCCAGAAGTGCAGACACACCTCCTGCAGGGCCACCCCGCCTCCGCCCGCTCTGCTGGGCTGGGCCCCGTTTCTGACCCACGGGTCTCGCCCGTCCCCCCGCTGACCTCGGGGAGGCATGTTCGGTGCAGCAGGCTGGTTGTTTCTGCCTCGCTTTCTTCTTTAAATAAGTGACTATTGAGAAAGTACCTTGAACTTACACTCGCCTGTATTTCCTGTCACTGGGGTGAGAGCGTGTCCGTTGCCGGGGTCAGCGCCCGCCGGGTCACGTCGGCAGGACCGGGTGCGAAGCCAGACCACGGGTGGTTTTGTGACGTGCGGGTTCTGCGTGTAGACACTGCGAGGCACAGAAGTGTGCCGTCCGAGGCTGAGTCAACAAACCAGAAATGCTGCCAGCAAAGGTCAAGGGACACACTGCGCTGCAGAGACGTTTCCTTCCGTGTCGTCCAGGGCGGGACGAATGGTCCCGTCCAAAATCGACGTTTGTGCCGCTTCAGACTACCTGGTTCCGAGGCACATGTTAGCTTACGGTTTTCGAGTGCGCCCCGCACGGGGCCCCGCCGACAGTCTCATCCCGTCCTCACTGACGGGAGCAGACACGCGCTGAACTTCCCACGTGCGCGTCGGGCGGGCTTGGTGACTCGGCCAGACGTAGGGTCACGTTCTCGCGCAGCCGCAGGCTGGGTGTCTGCCGCCCAGGGCCCTGGCTGTCTAATGTCGGTGCCGACATGCAGTTTCCAGACCGTCAGGGTGAAGCGTATTTTTCAACAACAGGTTCCGCTGACAAGCGTTACTCAAATACGACGTTCACAGTCGAGCGACCCACAGAGCAGCCTGGTCGCCGGTCCTCCGGCACCACGGAAGCGTCAGCATCTCCCAAACGTGTTACAGCTCAGAGTACTTTCCCCCAAAGCACCTCCCCAGACCAGCGCTCGGCAGCGCGCACTCAGGGGCTCCCCGTGACGACCTCCGGACCCCACGCCCAGCACCCCGTCACGCTCAGTGACAAAGGTGCTGCTGGTGGGGTAACTGCAGCTTCTCGGAGCTCGACTCCCTCATTGGTGACAAGATCACACACTGACTTGTTTGCCCCGGGAGTTAGGGTGGTGGCACAGCGATGAGCTGTTGACACGCGTCCTGTCAACAAACACTGGTCGCGGAGTCAGGCCTTGGAGCCAAGCACCGCTCGGGGCGCCCGCAGGGAAAACAGCCGTCCCCACGTAGAGGTGCAAACGGTCTCCGGGACCCTCTTCCTCACAGGAGCTTAGAAAGCAAGGCGAGCTCACTGCCCCCGAGGGAGGGGCCCGGGGAGGGGCCCTGGGGCCCGGTGGGGGCCATGGTGGGGGCCGCGGGCCGTCTCTGGACCTTCTCCTGCCGTCAGTGGCAAGCGCCCTGGCGCAGACTAACCGAAGCGGCAGCCGGGCTCGGGTCAGGCGCCGGCGCCCACGCTGGGACCACCGGTCTCTGCGCCTCCTCCGGAGCTTCGAGGAGCAGAACCGGGAGGTAAGAACAGACTGAACACGCGAACCAGCAGCCGTGTAGCAGCTGATGCTCCTGTTCTCCTTCCTGAGCCGCCGTCTACGGCCGATACACGGGGCGGGGGGGGGGGGGCTTACTTTGTTTTAAAACTACATCATAAATGGATTGTTTGAGAGTTCTCCCAGCAACACTGGACCTACCTGGGGGAGAGGTCGTGGCCTGCGGGGAATCAGCTGAATTACCTGATTATGAAGCTATTGAAGGAAAATTATTTCCAAATTCCACGCTGCGTCGGGCCAGCGTTGTATCGCGTCACCTGAGCCCTTGCGGCCAAACAGTGACTCTCACGAGTCTCCAAGCCCGTGACCCTCCCACAACGAGGTGACGTCCCCGTAAGCACCTGAAGACGCCCCAAAAAGCCAAAGGGAAGCAAAGTCGGTTCCTCCTGTGACATCTCTGCACGGCTAACTGGGCCAAATGGCCCGATAATTAGCTCTCCGGGTAACGAGCAGTTTGTGCTGGGAGCTGCCGTCCTTCCTCCCCGGTAGGAACTGTCCCCTTGGGCCCTTCACAGGCGGGAAGCTTTCGGCTCAGACGCCTGTGAAAACCACTTTGGTCCACAGTCCTCTGCCCAAAGGCTGCTGTCACGAGAGTGGGACCCCCCTTTGCATGTTCAGAGAAGTTCTGTCCACAGAGGTCAGGGCCTCCCTGCGACAGGAAACCCCCTGCGCACAGCTCGGTGGTCACCCGAGCCCAGGCCGCTGTCCAGGTGTCTGCCGGCCTGGGCGCTGGGGCCGCGGGGCGGTGGCCGGGGGACCACCAGCCGAGACCCCGCCCTGTGCCGCGGCCGAAGGCCTGGGGACACCGCGGCGCGGCCTCGGCTCATCTGCCGCCGCCTCTGCGCAGTGAGAGGTGCGTCTAAAAGCCTCCCACAACCGAGGCGTTTCTAAGTCTAGCGGAAAATGGAAAGAAAATAAAAAC